CTGTTCCTAAATTTCGCATCTCAATTCTCCGAATCTCATTTATATAGTTATGATTCTGCAAGTTTATGGAATGCTCTCTCCTCTCAACAAAATGTACAAATTCATTATCATCGTTTAAATCAAAGTTATCTGGAAAAAATGACAAGGTTCCAAAATATTTTCTATTTGGTGAAAGAAAGACAAATATACTATACACGAAGTTAAGACATTCGTGTAGTTCATTACATGCAGATCTGTTTCGTGTTAATCTATCAGAGAGTAGAGCTTGCAATAGTGGTGCTCCGGTGGAAGATGCTAACCATTTCTTTTAAAAATGTCCAAAATTTGTCAGCTGCCGTTTTGATCTGAAGCAAGACTTTAAACTATCAAAAGTTCACTTTGACATTGATACCATTCTTTACGGCAACCCTGCTCTGCCAAATACTATTAATGAAAATATCTTTAGACATGTGCATAAATACATCGTACGAAGTAAGCGCTTCGATTAATCAATAGTATGTCTTAATATTAGTATGTCCATCCATTACGTCCAACCATTATTGTTCATGTTTCTGATGGGAGCGGGCGGTAATAAGTTACATAACTTGTGCCCAATCCATTTCAACAGTGAATAAAATATGTTCAAACAATTGAAGTGAGTGTGTGAGTTTAGTTTTACGCCGCACTCAGCAATATTCCAGCTAAGCAATTAAAGAGGGGGTACATACACTCTAAACTACATGTGTTCAAGCAGAACAGTGGACGCGTTCGTGCATGTTCTAAATTGGAACACATAGGCCATATCTAAAACAGGCGTGTTCTGTTTTAGAACACATGTGTTCAAAGTCTGTGAGGTAGGTGTTCTAATTTCAGAACACAATGTGTTATTAGAAGACTGTGATTTCGTAAATGAAATGAATTAAATACTTTTGACATAATCATTAACCTGTTAAGATATTTTAAGACAATGCTGATCATTATACAAGCAGACATTTTAAAACAGGTTTTAAGGGAATTGATAATAACTTCTGTATTTTAGCTTTAACCCTTTTCTTTCCAGAAGGAGAATAAAAATACATGTATTTTGCAAGAGGAAAATGATTTTTCAAAATGTTCTAAATCACTTGGTACAATCTGGTTATATATGGTTTACAATTGATAAACAACTGAATAAGCAGCCTCTAACGTAGACTGTATCAGAACAAATACTGTTCCTTTACATTTGATCAAATGAACACGTTAGGACGGTATCTGTTCTGTATGGTTTGATTTGGTATCTTTTCGGACGGCGTGTGTTCTGATTAGAACAGCTGATGTTCTAACAAAGTGACGTCATGATAAGCATGCGCAGTTGTCTCTTCCCCAACGCTGCCGAAAGTCGTTTGGCGCCACAGGTCAAAATGAAAATGCTGCCTGTGATTCAGCTTATCGAAGACAAAACAAGACTCCATCAGGATGGCAAATCCAACAAGACCGCAAAGAGGTCAATAATAGAAGTTAAAAGGGTGAGCGGTATATTAAAATTCATGTGTTACATTATTTTATATCCTGTAATATTAGGAAACTTATCATTAAGTAGGTGGTTACAAAGATTCTCCCACAATGTACAAACGTGAATTGCATATTCTTACAAAATGGAACCTGTTTTGTATTGAATGAAACCTTTGGATAAGCGTTTTTCATGTTTGTTTATGGGTGAAATAAAACAGTATTTTCATTTAAAAATGTGTGTCATGAATTAGAGTTCAATAGAAATTTGAACTCACGTGTATGCCACATCATATGTTTCATCATATCTTAGTGTAAAATTGTATTGTAGGATGTGACCGTTGATGAGATTGACGGGTCTCTGAAGACAAAAGCCTCAGAGGGTCCAAACATCGTCGCTTTCGTCAGAAGTGATGCTCTGGCCGACCTCCACATCGCCACCGACACTGTGTCATGTGAGGTGAATGTCGAGGGTGGCACCATGGCCACGGTATTGAAACTGATGGCGATGTACTACATTTTCAATTTAAGCTATCCCAGAGCATACACGATGGTTTTGTAGGTTCAGAGAAGTGAGGGGCGTTATCTCATCCTTGCCAGACCCTGAGATTTGGGAGGTCTTTTTCAGCGTTTTCTTCAATGATGTGCAACTGTAACTGCATATGTTGTGAGATGTGCACGAATGAGTTGTTGCAGTTAGTTTCTTCTCCTACACTCCATTTAGCCGTCCGCGGTCTAACAAATGGATAACGCGTTTTCATATTCAATATAGGTGTTAATAAAGTTTTGAATCATTTCATATTGTTGTGGTTTTTATTCGTTCATGTTAGGCTGGTGGAGGTTTCAGAACACTAGTGTTCTGAAATAAGGCTCAAAACACTCAAAGGGCGCTCTAAATCTGTTACAGCGTCCGAGGCGTCCAGGGGTGTTCTCAATTGAACACAAACAGAACACACAAAGAGTGTTCTGAAATCTAGAACACAAGCGTTCTGTGAGTGGAACACATAGAGTCAAAATCAGAACACTCCGACTGCGTTCTAAATCTGTTACAGGAAGGGTGTTTTCATAGTGTTCAGAACTAGAACACTTAGGTTTAGAGTGTATATCTTACAATTTATATAGAAAAGGAGTCAGCTCAAAATACCTGCACATTCACCGATGGCAAAGTGCGTGTTACGTTGTGGAATTGCTGAGAGACAATACTGTGGGAAGGCGAACTGAATAGTCTACACACATAAGGTCGTCACACTGACTGCAGAAATAATAATGTTTTAACACTTTTTGTACAATGTACACGTTTTTTAAACTGCGACGTTATCACTGATCGGTACATACATCCAGCAGATCGACGGACTGATACGATGATGGTTAATTCATGAATAATTTAGAAGTGAGTGTTTTTACTTGAATTTGGGTGTTATTTGACAAGGTGAGATATACAAAGGAACACATCTGAGACGGACAGGAAAACAGTCAACTCTCTTGCAAATCTGCTTTGACCATACGTGATCACTGGGTCACTCTCGACATGGGTAAAACAGGTCAAAGGGTTATTTTGATACTGTTCTGAAAAGTAACTGTGCATAACGTAAAATTGCATGAAATAAAAGTTATTTGAAAACTTGTAAAAATAACCCAACACACACATGTAGCAAAGCACTTTGCATGAAATGTGACGTATCGCGCATGGCATGTGCACTTTGTTCACAATGAAAACACGTCAATTTCAACCTAAACTCTTCGTAGGTCATGCCACGGCTTACAGAAAATCGGCGTCTCCGCGCCCTACAGGTATGCTGGAGACTGGAATGGTCCCCAAATTTCGTGTCCATCGAAACACGATCTCATCTCTATGGAGACGTTTTCAACATAAATGGGAACACGAGAGATTTGCCTGGGACCGGCCGTCCACACGTGACGTCACACGTCAGCAAGACAACTACATTCCGCTGAACCATCTAAGGAATCGATTCCAGACTGCCAGTTTGACTTCTCGGACCATTCCTGGCATACCTCAAATCAGTTCCAGGAATGAACGGAACGAACTGAGGGAGTACAACATCCGTCCCCGAGGTCTAATTTCGCTCCAACGTCACCGACAGGCACGTCTTGCCTGGTGCAGACAGCATCTACGGTACAGGAGACAAGATTTGATGGTGTGTTGTTCACTGACGAGTCGAGCTTTCATCTGGACAGCTCAGATGGCAAGGCAAGGGAGCACAGACGGCGACGGTAAACGGTATGCTGACGCGTGCGTTGTTCAACGTCGACAATTTGGTGGCCGGAGCGTTATGGTAGGACACAACTTGTATATAATTGTCAATGGCAATTGCGATGGTCTGTGATACAGGGATGAGATCATTGGGCCTCATGAGCAGCCGTTCATTCAAGGCCAGATACTAACTTCACGCTTCAGCAAGATATGCCCGTCCACATTTCGCTCGTGTTGTGACAGATTTCCTGAGACCTGTCCCCTATCGACGTTTACGTCAGCCATTGACGTTAGCTGGGCGGTTCAGACATAGAACAACACTACCCAAGCTTTCTCGTCGTCGTCGTTGCCAAGCCTACATCAACGGCAATGGTGGACACACGCAATACTGAATTTGTAAGCTGACTTTTGACACCACATCTCTTCAAGGCCGTGTCACGATGCCTAGTGTCAAATCATACAGATTTCGATATCACCCTGTCAACAGTTAAAGAATGATTAAGAAAAACACCACAAATAGAGGATATTATATGAGTCCCCATGGCATGCTATGTTTACGACACGAGTGCCTGAATGTTGTTATTTCCAATTTATAATCAAGAAATTATTACGCTCTCAAGTGCGTCATACGACTTATACGAAACTCGTGCAAAATTACGTATTGCCCTCGCTCTCGCTCGGGCGATACAAAATTCCACACTCGTTTCGTATAAGTCGTATTATGACACACTTGCTCGTGAAGACCGCCCGGAGAGCGGAAGGTCGCGGGTTCGATCCCCGACCGCGTCATACCAAAAGACGTTAAAATATGGTACTTGTTGGTCCCTGCCTGGCGCTCGGCATTAATGGGTACATGTGTCTGAGTGGGGTATTTATGCTTCACTTGCGGCATGGTATCTCAGTGGGTTAGCACTATAAAACCACCTTCAGTCTGGGCTAGTACAAGCAGCACCTACACATACACACGCATGCACGTCGTCATATGAGCGAAATATTCTCTAGCACGACGTTAAACCCAATTTCACCTCAACTTGCTCGTGAAATAATCTCTATCTGTTACGTCATATTTGCAAGGGACATAAGCCATGGTGTGTTTGTTATGGAAACATAACTCTCAGTAAATTGACAAAATATGAAACGACATTATGCAAAACAAATTGAATTAGTTATTTCTGATGCCTGTACTGTTTCTGGCCATGACATTACTCGATAAATACATTTTATGTAGAAAAAGTGCAAGCAAAAAAGGCAAACTTGCCCTTTAAAGTACACGCGAATCTAAAACTAGAGTTGCTTCCCTTGGGGCATAGTTAGTAACAATATGGCGGATTCCAAGCAAAAGCCGGAAACTTTGGATGGATCGGGGGATATTACAAATTCCACCGGAAATGTTGGGAGTCGAGAGTGTGACAGTGACGAAAGGAAGAAGAGAGCAGAGGAACTGAAAGAAAAGGCTAATTCGTTTTTCAAAAGTACGTCCAGCAGCAGATTTTAATCTATCTGCTCGATACTCGGCACGTGCGCAGCATCTCACTGTTGCTGTAATGCCGTACATTGTGGATAACACAAACTTGGTTACAATAAGTCGTCTGATAATAACTGATTAACGATCTTTAATGTTTTGCTGACCTTTCAGTTCAATTTAAATATGTATACAAATTGCGACTGTGGTTCCCTGCCGCAGTTTTCACTTTATGTGAGATATTTGTTCGGTTTTCGATCACGCAGTGTCCGTAACTCGCGCTCGAATTTTACGTTTATCTTCTTTACTCGTAAGTAGCGCCGTACTAGCAATACTGTATTACCACATTCTAAGTAACGAAACCGTATTTTGCTTATGCTTTTCAGTTAAACTGAGAAAGTCTAGATATGTAGTGTCCATGCAATGTTTATTGCAAAAGCGTCGTATACATGTTAAGACATTGACTATACACCAACTCTTTCAATCTTTCAAAAATATTTACTTACTTGTACTGTCACAGACAATGATATGATTGGTGGCAGAAGTTAAAGTGAAACAACATTCCTCTCCACAGCTTGTTGTGGATTAGTTTTGACTGGTTTGACTTGTCTTTGGCAATATTCACACCATGTTTTGTGAAGCAACATCTCAGGGGTTAAAAAATCCCATTGCCCGACGCCCGGGACAAGTCAGTTTTCAATTCGGATAATCAAATAATGGTATGTGACTCGTCTGTGGGCTACTAGATAATTTCTGCTTATGCTTTCAAACTGCAAATAAACTTGGATTTCATTTCATGTCTGCTCAAAATCTAGCTATTAAAATTTGACACAATATACAAGAACGAAACGAAGTAATTTTCATAACGATAATAAACTAGAGTTACCTCTCTTTGCTATTTATCACTTCTCGATAAATAGTCCAGTAAACATTAACATCAAATACCATGTTGATTTGTTCTTTCATAATTACATCATCATGATTATGTCATAAAAATCCAGGCAAGTGGAAAATTATTCAGGACAAGTTACTTTCTTGAAGTCACTTGCCCTGTGGCAAGTGGCTTTAGAAAAATATCTGAACCCCTGTCATCTGTAGGAGATTTGTAGAATGAAAAGCTGTATATCATAACAAAGAATATACATTGCTGAGCTGCAGCCAAACTGACATTATTTTGTTGTTTGTTAATGCTTAAAGATTTATAGATGTGAAGCTATCGGTGAACATCACATTATGCACAGAACTAAAAACTTCTTTAAAAGCTCTTAAAAACAACAGATTGCTATTTCCCTGAAATATTGAGAATATCCAAACAAATGTTATATGTGAAATATAAGGCAGTTTCCTTGTTGGGGGAATATATGAGTAAAAAAACACTCTTTTGGAACAATGTCCCTCATACGTTAAGCTATACAAAAAAATTATATGTAGTCATGCGTAACTATATCCCAGTGTCAGGGGTTTTCGTCAAAGACAAAAACGTAATTTCTATCTTTAATATCATTTAAAGTTTTTATTTTACTTACCTTGAGTAATAAAGGATATATTCATCTATCACACTAAAATATCAAGTGTTATACAAAAAGTGCATTGATGACATTGTATCATCAAAACTGTTGCCGCTTTCCACATCCGGGTATTTTGTATGGGTTTTCGACGGTGAGCCACACTTTTCGCTCCACACTGCAAGGGAGTGTTGTGATCATGTGGCTTCCTATTTAAATATTGCCTGTCACTAGCAGACGACTGATCTTACTGAATTTCACTTGCGACTTTATGCTATATAGGCAATTGATTTTGCATCTGAAGTGGTATTAACGATCTCGGGTAAATAATATTGATGTTTGTTTGCTTTTTATATAACCTATCTTCCAGATTTCCATTGTCAATAAAGCGTCTAACAGAGCTGCAGATAAGTTTTTGGGTCATTGAGTTATGTACTTGCTTGTGTTCATCTCAATATTGGGTATCCTAATTTTCCTTTGAGTAACCAAATAAATTGTACCCACCTCACTCAAACTCAATTGGGTATTTTGTCATTTTCCATTAATTGTAAAAATATTATAAAGTTTAGATGTTGGTTTACGTGTTTATTAATTATATTTGATCTATATATGAGACTGCAAGTTGCCAAGTTTATGTGCTGAAATAGAACAGCTCAATATACCTCAGTTATTTTATCTATTTTTGTGTGTACGCATGTAAGATTAAATGTATTGAGTATTTACAAAAATTCAAGCATACTTGTATGCAATAGACTTAATAGGAATTGAGTTTTCACATAAATATTAGCATACTTTACGCAGATACACAGCTTATCTATACCTCTGGTCTAAGCACAGCTGATTTGTTGATATGCTTATTCTGATGACTTTAAAATGTGTGATCACTGGTGAACTTTTTTCCATGGGAGCTACAGAAAACCCCTGGTTTACTTGAATCCCCAGTATCACAGATGGCATTATTGCAGGGGGATGACTGTATTTTGCAACTCTTCAGACCAATCATGTTGCGCTGTCATGTGTATATTACATAGCCTGTAGCACACGCATCACATCAGACCAGGATTTGTAACCCCAATCTTAGATTAAATAATTACATGAGACATGAGAAACGACAAACTCAAACCACTGATTTCTGTATATGCTTGACATCCTCGGTGGTGACTTACGCCCGGTGTGGCCACCAGTATTTAATACATGTAATTTGCTGATCATCGTAGATGACACTGAAGGAGTAGTAGTTGTTGCATTATATAATTTATATGCAATTTGCCTAAAAATAAGTGTCGTTGCTGTTTTGAGTGTATTAACTTAAATTCATTGTTGAAAAAATAATACATACAAATAATTGCTGTTTACCAAGGGGTATAATCGTACATACTAGTATACATTTACACACATCTGCAAACGTGCAAGGGGAAAGGCTTAGTAAGCATCATCTGCGAGTATTGCAGGGGACTCTCCCTCATTGTCAATGAGGTCCTCCTTGATTATGCAGGATAAGTAATATGGCACCAACTAGATGACTGACAACTAGAGTGTTGTTTCCCTTTAATGACGGAAACATGCCACTTGCTCTCAATTCAAAATTTGAGAAGAGCAATGTCTTACAGATGGCCTAGATTGTTTTACTTCTCATGGGCTATGCAGAGTCTCTTTCATTCAAGTGTTTATTCCACTGAGATAGAAGATGATTTTGATAGATTAAGTCGTAAGTCTGAAGTTGTTGTAGGGGATGCCTTGTGTATAACTTTTTTAAGGTTGCATGATGAGCACACTCTGACTGTCACTTTCCTAATCTGGTAAGTGATGCTTTGATTGGTCATCTGAAAGGTTTTCCTGACGTTAGCTAAATTGGATGTCCTTGGTTCATTGTTGTTTTTTTAGTGGATAAACTAAGATGTGATTTTAATGAGATTGCCTCAACATTCATCCACATTATTATATGAGCATATAGTAGTCATAGATGGACATTACAACAACATTCCCATTATGAAATTGCCCAAACAATGTCATGATTTAGTGAACTCATTCCCTTTCTCTGCTGTCTCCAGTAAACAGTCTATAGCTATTATTCTTTTCAAAACACCTCCAACAGGATTTTCAATTCAGAAAATACTACAAGAAACATTTATGAGGACATCAGAGCATCAGTATCGATTATTATGTCCTCCACACTTACATACCTGATGTCATCTCATTAAATAGGAACAAAGGATATTCTGCCAAATCTTGAAAATTTGTTTGGGAGACACCTTGGCCAAGCCCTACCACATTAAACCCTACTGCACCCTACTTGGAAATAAGTTGACTTCCTTGCAAGTACGGGGCCTCCTCTACTGACAGCTGCTCAAAGGTGGCAAGTTATTGGTATGCAGAATACTGGCATGTCATTGAGGGCTATTGCAAGATATGTTGGTTGCCATCCATCGACTACAGCCCTTCTCAGAATAATAAAATCTTCATCTGTTCATATATGGTGGCGAGCTAAAGTGGTTTCCACATCATTGTTTGTAGAAACAAAACAGTCTGAAATCACCTAAAATCAGCTTCTAGGTTTGGATAGGTTCCTTTGCATTGTTTATTGGTAACATATTCATGCTGTGAAAATATGGGGTGTTGTGATTCTTTTTTACATGTCCATAGATGAAAATGTTGAAACTTGCTATTATGTTATATTTAAAATCCTTCAATTTAGGGGGTTTTTTGCAGAGGAAGATTACAACCAGGCAATAACATACTATTCACAAGCAATAGAGGCCGACCCATCGGTTGCAGCTTACTACTGCAACAGGAGTCTGGCTTATCTCAAGACAGAATGTTTTGGCTATGCTCTGAAAGATGCGGGCCAAGCTGTCATTATCGACCGCAGCTACATAAAGGTAAGAATTAGCTAAGATTTAAAGAATTCTCACACAAAGCCAACCCCCAGACCAACCCTATCACCAGTTCCACATACGCCCTGAGATAGTCGGCCCAGAGGAGGACCAGGCATTAGCTCTCAGCCCTCTTAGAGCAGTAAGCCGATGTCTCCTGGTATCCACACAACAGTCACCAGCAGCAGTGTCTGTTCTTATTGGTCTCTGACCCTGTTGCTGCCAAAGTGACTCGTAAAACCATATTGCTTTGGCTCTGCTTGGTGATACTTCGAGCTTATGAACAGGCTGACCTACCACCTCCAGTGTCCCACAACCCACACAAGATCAAAGCCTTGTCGTCGGTTATGCCCTTTCATGTGTTGAGCGTTAAGCCGGAACATCATGGAGTTGCTGCTGGAGGTCCACAACACTCTTTGCTAGCCACTACCTCCACAACACTTTGCTAGCCACTACCTCCACAACACTTTGCTAGCCACTACCTCCACAACACTTTGCTAGCCACTACCTCCACAACACTTTGCTAGCCACTACCTCCACAACACTTTGCTAGCCACTACCTCCACAACACTCTTTGCTAGCCACTACCTCCACAACACTCTTTGCTAGCCACTACCTCCACAACACTCTTTGCTAGCCACTACCTCCACAACACTCTTTGCTAGCCACTACCTCCACAACACTCTTTGCTAGCCACTACCTCCACAACACTCTTTGCTAGCCACTACCTCCACAACACTTTGCTAGCCACTACCTCCACAACACTCTTTGCTAGCCACTACCTCCACAACACTCTTTGCTAGCCACTACCTCCACAACACTCTTTGCTAGCCACTACCTCCACAACACTCTTTGCTAGCCACTACCTCCACAACACTCTTTGCTAGCCACTACCTCCACAACACTCTTTGCTAGCCACTACCTCCACAACACTCTTTGCTAGCCACTACCTCCACAACACTCTTTGCTAGCCACTACCTCCACAACACTCTTTGCTAGCCACTACCTCCACAACACTCTTTGCTAGCCACTACCTCCACAACACTCTTTGCTAGCCACTACCTCCACAACATCTCAGTGGAGGATGGACACACAGCCCATGTTCCCTCTGTATTAATTTAATCTGTATTCTGATCCCAGAGTGCCCTACAAACATCATATCTCCCAGTTCCTTTGAGAATGGAGCCACTGATGGGATTAGTTACCTTACACTTACAGCAGCTGATACAGTTGACACTTTTACATCCCAACAGTACAATGATAAATCGCTGGCTTAAATTGCATACTTCAGAAGAGATTTCTTGACATTGTTTTTCTTGCGTTACATGACCAAGATAATGTCATGTTTTTCTAAATGTAGTGTAATCTAGTTAAATTAGAAAATATTTTGGAAGTAAACCAGATATTAAGATGTTCTGCAAATACAGATCAGTTGATTTTCATGTTTTCCTGGCAGGCTTATTATCGAAGAGCATCAGCAAACATGGCACTGGGTAAATTCAAGTTGGCCCTGAAAGATTTTGAAATGGTAGGTTTAACTTTGTTTTACTGCAACAGGTGTTGATGTGTAAGTACATGTGTATGTCAGTCTGCTGGCAAAGCCTAAGTCTAGCTTTGTCTGTTTTGGTCTGGAGAAAAGAGCAGAAATCACTTTGACTTTACATGACCACATTCAATCAAGTTGGAGTTTGACACAAATGAACTGTATATTACGGAAACACTCTTTATGCATGATGTGTTGTCATGGTAATGTTATGTAGCAGGTTCACTTGTTAAATAATGACACTGTAGGTAGTGACTACAGCAATATGTTCAGAGACTCGTTTGTCAGCTTCTGATCTGTCAGGTTTAGAATATGAAAATAAAAACTCTGACATGTTTATGGTGTGAGGTAATTGTTAGTTTACACACATAATGAACCAAAAGATTAGTTGTCATGAAATATTTTTATATGCCGTTCACTTTTGAAGAAACTTATTTTTCCTTATCCTGACTCATGCTCTTTTGCTTGTCTTCTTCTTCTTGCGAACATAGTGGAACACTTGTATCTCCCTAATTGAAGCTCCCTTCAATGTAAAATCACTAATTAGTACTCACCAAGAGTTGCCTCCCTCTTCCAAATGCGCGGGAAAGGAGGCGCCACCTCTTCCCTCATGCTTCACTCTCTCCTTCCTCGCCCAGTGAGCAGGATGTGAGAGCGCCTGTGTCTCCCTACACACTATATCCTTTGATTATTCTTAGTTAGTTACCTCTTGTAGTCATCTATAGAGGTTTAGCTAGTATCCTTCAACAATTATGTATTGATATTTATTCGTATTTCTGCTGTTTATTCACGGGACGCCGGGATTGTTCAGCAGTTTGCGTTGATGAAAATCTGTACTGTTTGTAGGTTACGTTTTTCTGCTGCCGATCCGCATTTAATATGCCCTAGCTGTACTGCACCATGTGCATTTTCTTCACGTTGCAGTAACTGTAATAATTTGTCTAACTCTGCATTTAACAAATATTATCTTTGCGTCTTGAGACGGGCAGCAGATAGGTCACGTAAACAGAGCCTAGCCATGGCCGATACTTCGGAACCCCTAGCCAGTCAACTGTTGTCGGACGACCCCCCCTCCCGTCTGGTGTTCCACTAGAGTTACCCTCGGAGGAGAGGCGTGGGACGCAGTCCGCCATCTCCAAGAAGCGTCCTGCATCCCCAGACATCCCGTCGTCGCAACCGAAGACTAAGAGGGCTTCCACTTCGTCACAACGCAGACTCCGTACCCCCAGGGCAGCGTCTACCTCCCAGGGGAAACCAGCGAAGTCTACTAGAACTTTATCAGCCGAGATTGTTCCCGCCGCAGAACTAGGCCTGTATGATGATCAGCCGATCATCATACCCGATGTACGCCACAAGAAACGACCGGTGTCGGCAACAGTGACGTCAGCGCAGATCTACAGGCAGCCTGATGTACCAACGCTGACGTCTGACGATCTTCCTGAGGGTCCCGTCGCTACCAACGCAGAGAGGGCACCATCTACATCTTCGCAGACCGTCCCAGACAACCTGGTTCTACACATTATGAAGATGATGGAAGACCGCTACGGGCCTGGAGAGACAACCAGCCCAGAGGCTTCACGAAGGCTCCAACGTAGACGACACCCCAGAGGGACCCCCCGTCAACGAAGCGGCCGCTATCAAGTCATCGCTGGGGAACCCACCTGCGCGAAGGATGTCACAGCCCACCTCTGCGAAGGACCCAGATGTACAGCCCAGAAGGACAGCTAGATCGTCACCCGCCTCGGACTCCGATGATCAACACTCACGAAGAGGTTCGCGAAGGAAGATCCTCTCATCCCCGGACTCTGACTCGGACCCCCAGCCTTCGCTCCCCAGGACCGGACTCAGATGAAGCTTCGCGAAGGGCTCCAATTACAGGCTCCAAGTCATCTTCCTCTACGAGGTCATCGAGGGATTCCCCAAGAGCTTCCGCGAAGGTCACCATATCGACGCAGCTCACCAGGCCGTTCTCCACGACGATCTCCTCGCCGATCTCCACATCGTTCACCACGTCGATCTCTACGCAGGTCATCACACCGTTCGCCTCACAAGTCTTCACGGAAGTCCCCAGACAGGTCTCCGTTGACGTCACCCTGCACAGCTGTAGAAGTATACAGGTCTCCACCTCAGTCGCCATCGGATCAACCTCTTATTTGCAATCCCGTTACAGAAGATGATGGAGGCATCATATTCTGCGACGCAGAAATACGCTACTGGATGGTTAACAACCTGGACCTAGCTTCACCTTCCAAGAACGGTAACCCGGCCCACACTTATCTCATGAGGGAGGACGATGCAGACACCATCACCCTGTCTCCGATCGACCCAATAGCAACAGTCTCTCAGAATCTGGACACAGCCTTCCATAAAGCCACTAAAGCCCAGGCGCCGCACTTACCACAGTTCAACGCCAAAAAGTTCTCAACCCATAATATGGACCCATTTTTCAAGGCACAAGATATCAACGATAACTTCAAAGTAATCAACGATGCCAAGAATAAGACCTACAAGATAGACGACCGCAAGCTGGTGCAGATCGAAACCATGACAAGGAGAATGTTCTTCGGCCTTAACAGATCAAGAACGATTAATGAAACTCTCATCACCAGATTTCGTGATTCTACATCAGAAGATGACAGAATGCAGAAGAAGGACCAGCAGTTCTTAACGGATCATCTTACATCAGTCTCCGCAGCGCTAACTCTGGCTCGTCGTCAAGGTCTCCTCGCTTCCTGTAGTTGGGGTGAACAGTTTACATCTCCACTCTACACAGCCCCGTGGTCTTCGCCATCTATCTTTGATGGAGGAATAGATAAAGTCTCTAAAGAAGTCACCAAGGATTCAAGGGAAGTCCGTATGATAAAGTTGATGGACACGCTAGCCAGCGTCATCAGGTAGACATCACAGAGATATTCAGGAAGATCTAAGTTTACTGGCTTACAGAAAGCACGGGACAGGAAGATGGCCACCTCAAGAGGAAAAGATTCTTTTTGTGGCCCATACGGCAACTACAGAGGAGGATCTGGAAGAGGCAGGGCACCCAGAGGTTCCCGCAACTATAAACGATGAAAGACGGGTTCGGAACGACTGGAGCCTTCCACCCCAAGCCGTTCCAGTACAACCATCACAAGTGGGTGGACGCCTTCAACTGCTCTGGGAGAACTGGGGAATTCTACAAGACCCTTATGTCTCCAACATCCTACATCACGGATATCGAATCCAACTACAGGCCACGCCTCCGCTTACAGTCAACCCTCACAAGTTCGACTTTAAGGCGCAACAACTACTAAAGTTAAGAGAAGCTGTTGCATCGCTACTAACCAAGCAGGCCATAGAAGTACTGGATCAAGTAAACATCGAACCAGGCTTCTACTCCCCAGTTTTCCTAGTGCCCAAGAAAAACTCCAAAGAAAAGTTCAGAATCATCTACAACATGAGCACGTTCAACAGAGATTATCTCGACGCGAAACCGCCAACGCGTTTGCATGATACATCTACCTCAACTTCGGCACCTAGTTCGTCCCATGGACTACATGGCCAGTATAGACCTGCAGGATGCTTATCTACATATCCCCATACATCCCGAATCCAGGAAATACCTACGGTTTACACTAGACGGGCTGCATTATCAATGGAGAGTACTCCCATTTGGAATATCATCGGCCCACTGGTTATTCACAAGAGTAACGAAACCCATCTTCACTTACCTACATCGTCTAAAGCTACGCAATGCGTTCTACCGCGACGACGGGATTCAAGTAGATCAAGATCCACAGCATCTCAAACTACAGTTAAACTACATCATCAAGCTACTAACACAGCTAGGATGGTTAGTAAATCTACTCGAGTCGGACCTAGAACCTACGCAAGATCTGCAATTTCTAGGCATTCGATTTATCACGACACAGAACCGTATCGTCGTACCAGAGGACCGATGGCTCGAGATCCAACAGACCATCCCACAAGCCTTACTCTCTTCGCTACCACTACGACAATGGCAGAGTCTGTTGGGTCTCCTCACGTCAGCCCAAGACATGACAGTCAGAGGCAGACTACAGTTACGTCCGCTACAGGTCCTCATCAACGCCATCTCTCGACGACCTACAACCATTCAGTCTACCGGGCACATCAGACCTCATCTACTATGGTGGACCAGGAGGTCGAATGTCTCATGAAGGCATCTATTTAACAGAGCCGGAATTCAAAACCCATCTCTATGTAGACGCGTCGCTCCAAGGTTGGGGAGCTCATCTCGCCAACCGGACGGCATCAGGGTTATGGAACCAGCAAGACAGCAAGCTGCACATAAATATGCTAGAAATGAAAGCTGTAATCAACGCCCTACTACATTGGAGCACTATTCTACAGAATGCGCATCTGATGATTCACACAGACAACTCAACAGTGGCGTTTTATGTAAACAAACAAGGCTCAACAAGATCATTGAACCTATTGACTCTATGGTTTCAATTATTCGATCTAATCGACGATCTCAACATACATGTCAGAGCATGCCACATTCCGGGAGCCAAGAATGTACTAGCAGACGCACTCTCTCGGCCACATCTACTGTCACCGAAAGAATGGATGCTCCATACAGAAATCTTTGCACAGATTATCAAGGAAATAGGAACTCCGCTAGTAGACCTATTCGCCACTCGCTTCAACAATCAGCTAACAACATTCGTATCACCAGTCCCGGATCCACAAGCGTGGGCAACGGACTCACTAAGCATATCCTGGAAGGCCTCAACGGCAGACAGCGCTTCCGCCGCCAGCTTAATTCCACAAGTGTTACAGAAAATCAAGCAAACACAGAGCCTCCAACTGATTTTGGTCGCGCCCTACTGGCCAGCGAGAACGTGGTTTCCCATTCTAATTCAAGAAATCGGACAACCAACACTAGAGCTACCAAAGCGCTCGAATCTACTAATACATCCTCACACCAAACAAGCGCACGGAAACCCAGAAGCATTCCAACTTCACATATGGACTGTATTAAAGTGTGTCTAAACAAGAGAGGTTATTCAGCCAGAGCGGCGAAAGCAGTCACGCTTGCTTTACACAATTCTACGTGCAACTTGTATGACGACAAGTGGCACAGTTTTGAAACATACGCTGCTAAAATGGGATTTACAGCGAGAAATGCTACACATCCACAAGTGGCTGACTTACGACAAAATAAACATTTAAAAGGCTCGACATTGTCAACTTATCTCGCAGCTCTAAGTTCTGTGATAACTATGAGAACTGGTGTCAAGCTAACCAAAACGCCAGAGTTACTGGCCTTACTACGTGCATTCCGATTGGAGTATCAGAAACAGAGATTTCGTGCTCCAGCATGGGATCTAAATATAGTGCTCCAACACCTCACAAGTGAGGCCTATGAACCACTGGAATCAACAACCTTTGAATTTCCGTCACAGAAAACTTTGTTCCTGTTATCCCTAGCAACGGCAGCCAGGATGTCAGAAATTCACGCACTAGATTATGAGAGAATACGTTTTGACGACAATCTGAACATTGTGCATATGGGACTGCGATGGGATTTTATCGCCAAGAATCAATTGCCAGGTCAACCAGACAGATTATTCCATGTTCCTGCACTCTCCTCAATTCTCGGACCTCAAGATACGCTTGACCTATCTCTATGTCCAGTCAGAGCACTCAAAATCTATCTACAACGATCCAAAACGAGGCTTGACGACAACTCAAGCGGTTATTCATCCCTATCGACAGCTTGACTCAGACCAAGTCTCTCGTACTCACCATATCGATATGGATCAGAACTGTCATACTGTGCCTACAAGGCTGCAGGACTCGACCCTCCAAGAGCATCTAATCCCCATGAAATCAGAGCACTGGCTTCCACACTCGCTCTACACGGAAATTGCACGTTGAATACCATTATGGAGGGCTGCTTTTGGAAATCCGACATGGTGTTTGCTAACCACTATCTGAAAGATATCACCACCGAGGACGTCTCAGGTATTCACCATTTCGGTCCCATGGTCCTCGCACAGCAGTTGACAGTCCCTCGTAGACGATGATTAGTCTCACGAGATTATTATGTATTTATCATACCAGTTTCATCTAGCTTATAACTCTACGGAGTTTTGTGCTATTATATACCGTATATGACCGTCTATAAGCCGAATTTTGAGGACAACAAAAAGCAGTCTGTAGAAGGGGGTCGTCTTATCCATGAGTTACACTTTCGACAAACTTTTTTCCAGGGGTAAGAAAACAACATCGTATCACTTCGCAGGAACAAACAACAGAAGACGACTTTGTCAGTAGAGACGTCAGATTTGCAATTAAACATCACTAGACAAGATTATTTACCATTTAAGTTATAAGTTGTTTTTGCTGGGCATTGTTTTATTTGCAGGATTAAGATTACCGTATGATTTGTCTCGCATTACACAAAGCCGAAATAGCTAATCAGCTGTGCACACGCTTCCGCTAACAAGTTTAAACATGCACAATAATATAACGGGATCTAATTCTGACGAGTCAACAGTAAAATATAATACAGAATACCGCTATTTAACCCAAAGAAATATATCCTAGCATTGTGTAATTTTAGTTACAGTTTTTGCTCTATAAATTAATTAAGATTACCGTATGCGATCTGTCTCGCACACAAAACCGAAATAGTAATCAGCTGTGCACACGCTTCCCCGCCAACAAGTTCAAACATGCACAATAATATAACGGGATGAATTCTATTGATTGAATACTATTATTTAACCCAAAAAATATATCCTAGCATTGTGTAATAGTTTTATGTAAAAATATATAATCAACACTAAGGTTATACGGACCATCATGAACGTGGTAAGCACGTGACATGGAACGAGGCGGTAATCAGTTTGTGATTGTTGAATGGGGTAAAATAAGCAAGTCAGTTTGTTGTTACAATAAATATGATATTTAGAGAAGCAAAATATATTATGCATTTTCTGTCAACTACACTTCGTTTCGATCCGTGAGTAGACACAATATATATGACAGTGAATTCTTTGAATAATGTGGATCGACTTACAGTATATGAGGAGGACAGTGACACGGAATTTGATGGGTTTACGGCCGATGACTTGTGAAAATCTCAGAACTCTCTTGCAGAAATGTCAGTGTTTATTGTTAGTGGACTATTTTTCTTATTGTCATATATATATAGATGAAATATGGACACTTAAATAATATATTTTGAAACAAAAGTTGACTTCAGTTTTTATTTACCGATGGTACGTTTTCACAAAATGGCGTCTCATTGTTGATGCAAGCAGTGATCGTCGGGATATAAAAAGGAACACAAACACATGTTGCCACAATACACCTGTAATCTTTATTATGTAATATTCTCACCAACACTTACACTGTATATCCACTTTCCAAATGGCGTCTCGTTGTTGATGCAAGCAGTGATCGTTAAAAAAAGGTAAACAAACACCGGTAATCTTTATTATGTAATATTCTCGTAATGGTGTCTCGTCGTTGATGGAACATACTTACCGGGTACTCTGGTCTCTGTTGGCCGCGACCCATCGAGGGGGGTCGGCCTATCCATGAGAGATATGATTTTGACACTGATTTTGAGGGTCAAGTTTGGGGGTCGGCTTATCCATGGGGTCGGCTTATAGACGGTCATATACGGTACATATCTAATCTATAGTAGTCTTGAGCCCAGTACTGATGTTATATGTACATTTGGTCGCTTCTCCACTTTGGAGTCGCTTTATACCATTATTACTATTATCATAGTATCTATATATTGTAGTACCCCCATCTATGGCAGCTGGTAGAACTTATGTTTTATAGCAGCAGGAATTAGCTTAATTACAGTGCCATTAGGAAGTTCCCGTAGGGGGTTATTGCTTATACAGAAATCACAAATTATTTAAATCCAAAGTATTCTGTTTTCCCACCTCAGTTTCCGTAGGATTCTACAAGCAAAAGAGCATGAGTCAGGATGAGGAAAAATATGTAATTTTCTGATTAAAATTGATATTTTATACTTATCCTGACTCATGAGGTAAGCCCTCCCATCCTCCCCACATAACACTTTGGATTTCCCAGTAAATTCAAGTGTTGGGCTCGCTATATCAGGAGAGAGTGAAGCATGAGGGAAGAGGTGGCGCCTCCTTTCCCGTGCATTTAGAAGAGGGAGGCAACTCTTGGTGAGTACTAATTAGTGATTTTACATTGAAGGGAGCTTCAATTAGGGAGATACAAGTGTTCCACTATGTTCGCAAGAAGAAGACAAGCAAAAGAGCATGAGTCAGGATAAGTATAAAATATCAATTTTAATCAGAAAATTACATAATTGTCACTACAAAAGCTATTTTGGTTTCATGTGGTAAAACTTTAGAGGTGCAATTATCCTAAACCTTTGTTGATGTATGGCAGTTACAATCCTCATAATCCTGAGGTTGCTAAGTCAAACATAACCAAGACACTTGTCACTCAGGATACAACAATTTCCTGTCCTTTGTTCTTTAACATCTTATGTCCAACTTTTCAGGTCACCAAAGTTCGACCGAATGACAAAGATGCAAAGATGAAGTTCAGCGAATGCAATAAAATTGTGAAAATGATTGCATTTGAGAAGGCCATCTCTTCTGAAGACGATGTCCCTATGGAAAAGAAGTTGGATATAGAAAGCATGGGTTTGTAGCTGATAAGTGTTTCTGCAATAAGTGAGTGATTTGAGAACAAAGGACAGGGTAGCGCAATGGTCTTTATTATTATCCCTCTGGAAATGTCAAGTTTGAATGATACTCAAAACTTTGAAATTGTAGAAAAAATGATAGAATCTGTTCATGTTTCCCTCATGTAACAATATTTGATTTCTGTTAATTAAGTGATAGTGTGTATCTTTTTTATACATTTTTGCCTTGACTCAGGAGTTGTTAATCCCAACATGCAAGGGTTGATCTGAACATAGTATAAGACATGCATCATAACAATGGTAAATATATGTGGTTGTAATCATTCACTTGTCACATTCTAAATAGTTATTGAAGATGACTACACTGGCCCTGCTCTTGAGGACGATGAAGTGACAGTCACATTTGTAAAAGATCTCATGCAGACATACAAGGACCAAAAGCGATTACATAGAAAATATGCATACCAGGTATGAGAACAATTACTAATTGCTTCTTGACAGTTTGTCAGCAGCTCTGCTATTTGTGTGCATTTTGTTCATTTTTCATTGTTTGGTAAGTGTTCTTCAATTATAAGTCACAGACCACACAGTCCATAAAAACAACACACACGATCTGTGTGAGGTCGGCTGAACCTGTTGACAGACACCATCTATTGTCAGGGGCCTCACACGAACCAGGTCAGGCGGGCCCCACAGAAGTTCTAGGGAGTGGATCTCTAACATTACAGCAGAAACAAGACCAAGTCTCATTTCAAGCGATATCACCAGTTCCATGGGATATGGGAAAGGGTTTCAGGTCAAGAATAATGGAAAGCCTGGGTCTAAATAGTCTTAGCTCACCTCAGACTTCCCAAACATTAATAGTACACACCTTGACATGGGCTATAGACACGTTCATGAGTAGAAGATCCATGTGGATGCCGCCTTCTATTGCTATCTTGCCAAGGACATTTAGAGAAAGATATTTCCACAGTGGTGGCAAAGATTAAGAAAACTATAAAGCTGACTTAACACTTTGACACATGGATCCCACAAATTGTCAGAACATGTATCAGCTTTGCTCTTGAATTATAGTTGGGAACAGAGTTGTTTGTATTTTACATTTTACGATTTATCTTTCAGTTAAACAGTTATGTACGGTTTTGTCTGTCTGAAAAAGGACATGCCTGTTTCTATGCCATTGCCAAAGTTTATTTGACTCACTGGTTACAAGGCCTACCGTACAGTTCCCTCCTGTACTTTTGTTGACAGGATGCCTGCACTTACACAACAGTCGCAATTAACAACAGGCTGCTTCCTAAGCCTGCCATCACTACATCTCAGTTCAAAGTCCATGGGATTTCAGTTCATACATCCAACCTTTTTCAGGTTGTCTTGGCTTTGTATCATTCAGTGAACTCTAGGCTCAAGGTCAATGATGGCCATTATCTTGTGTCTGGCACTCCTCCCTTCGTCTCTCATCACCACCTTTGTTCAGGTGTTTGTAACAAGAATAGGCCAGTGGTCAGGTGTTTGTAACAAGAATAGGCCAGTGTTCAGGTGTTTGTAACAAGAATAGGCCAGTGGTCAGGTGTTTGTAACAAGAATAGGCCAGTGGTCAGGTGTTTGTAACAAGAATAGGCCAGTGGTCAGGTGTTTGTAACAAGAATAGGCCAGTGGTCAGGTGTTTGTAACAAGAATAGGCCAGTGGTCAGGTGTTTGTAACAAGAATAGGTGGTCAGTGGTCAGGTGAGGTGTTTGTAACAAGAATAGGCCAATGTTCAGGTGTTTGTAACAAGAATAGGCCAATGTTCAGGTGTTTGTAACAAGAATAGGCCAATGTTCAGGTGTTTGTAACAAGAATAGGCCAATGTTCAGGTGTTTGTAACAAGAATAGGCCAGTGGTCAGGTGTTTGTAACAAGAATAGGCCAATGTTCAGGTGTTTGTAACAAGAATAGGCCAATGGTCAGGTGTTTGTAACAAGAATAGGCCAATGGTCAGGTGTTTGTAACAAGAATAGGCCAGTGGTCAGGTGTTTGTAACAAGAATAGGCCAATGTTCAGGTGTTTGTAACAAGAATAGGCCAATGTTCAGGTGTTTGTAACAAGAATAGGCCAATGTTCAGGTGTTTGTAACAAGAATAGGCCAGTGGTCAGGTGTTTGTAACAAGAATAGACCAATGTTCAGGTGTTTGTAACAAGAATAGGCCAATGGTGAGGTGTTTGTAACAAGAATAGGCCAATGGTCAGGTGTTTTTAACAAGAATAGGCCAATGTTCAGGTGTTTGTAACAAGAATAGGCCAATGTTCAGGTGTTTGTAACAAGAATAGGCCAGTGGTCAGGTGTTTGTAACAAGAAGAGGCCAATGTTCAGGTGTTTGTAACAAGAATAGGCTAATGTTCAGGTGTTTGTAACAAGAGTAGGCTAATGTTCAGGTGTTTGTAACAAGAATAGGCTAATGTTCAGGTGTTTGTAACAAGAGTAGGCTAATGTTCAGGTGTTTGTAACAAGAATAGGCTAATGTTCAGGTGTTTTTAACAAGAAAAGGCCCCCTAGTGACTGACTTCTGCAAAGGTGACAAGGTCACTTTGAGGAAGTGGGATGGGGTGCATCTCCGCCGTTTTAGCTGCATCTTGAGGAAAGAAGTTATTCAACAACTAGACCCAGGAGGAGCTATATGTGAAGTCTCTCTTTACTGCTAAAGATGCAGCTCTGGCTCAGACAGTGCAGATGTGTTGGAGCAGGTGCTCTTGAACAGGCCTGCAGTTTGCAGGAAACTCCTCTCTGGCACTGGGTTGAGGCCATCAATGATGCTCCTCTACTGGTGAGCTTAACTGCCTCCAGTCATTCCTCTACATGGTACTCCTACTGTAACATCAACATCACCTGTCATTTTCAGCCATTGAAAATGCATCTTGTCCTAAACTTTCAAAGATAGCTGCTGGAACCGTACACAGGACACCTTGTCCTTTTTCTGTGCTCCACAATTCTCAAAGCTTCAGTCCGTGCTCGACTGGATCTCTGACAGGTTGCCAACTTGGACCTCAGAGATCTCTCAGTTAGAAGGTGTTGATGGTGTCAACCAAGTATGTAATCTTTTTCTCCCTTCACCCCACATCTTATTGCACCTCCTCGTTACCATGTTGACCAGGTGGAAACGGAGAGACAGTCATCAAATACCAAGTTCTTGATCTTTCAATTACCACCATTTGCAGTGTTTCATGGACACAGTGTTGTCACAGACGTATTGCGATACTAGTGAAGAGAACATGCCCAGGAGCTGAAGACAAAGTGCCTTAGTCTAGTCCTTGCTCTGACCCAAACACATTCTCAACAAGGGTTATGTAGTTGACCAAACTCACTATTCTATTTGGGGATTATTTAAGATATAGTGTCCCCTTATTTATATACATACCCTGTGTGAACAGTTTGTGACTGCCTGCTCAGCTTTCCATTCCCTCAAGAATGGGATGAACTTGCAACCTGTCTATGATTAACACAGAAACATGCGGGAGCAGTCTCGTCTGAGGGTGTGTGTGGGTGATCATTCATTATTTATATACATTGTGTTATGATTTAAGCAAGGCGGAACATTACATACTGTGTCAGGATATGTATTTAAATATGGGGAATACTCTGATTCCTTGTGTTTTGAATCTTTATCAGCTCATATAGATTATTACTTTGATAGTGTTATGTTACAGACCCGAGTACAGTAATCCATTTCTTACACACCATAAAATCCCACCATTTTTTGCACCCAATCCATACATGTTCTGTCCATACTCAACATCTCAGTTACATAGCAATACTTAACCCAATGTTCATGAGTCATCTGTCTTGCTACTAATACCAAGTGTGACACTCCTCAGATGTTTCAGTTGATCTGATTGTTATAATGTAAACTGGGAAAGATCATAGCAACATTTATTGAACACTCTCAAACTAAATGTTGTTGCTGAGTTTGACAGAAGCAAGAAGAGGGTATGAATGAACTCTGATCTGGAAAATGTGTCATAATCTGACCTCAGGTCATCACCGTAGAGTAGCAAATCACGGGCCTTGAATGTTTCATTCCAGTTATGTCAAATGGGTTTCTCACCCACATGTGGTAATTACTTCTTATACAGATTCAACACATTACAGTTACTTTCTTCACTTGAATCCTACCATAAAATGTGCTACATCTGGGGTTTGTTGCACCTGGTTTGATTTGGGATTTGTCATCAATGGAATATCATTACTGGGCAACATGACACTGGTGGCCTGTTTTAATGTCTTGTTCTTGTACAAAGCAAAGTACACCACAGGAGCAGAGAGAACCTTCACCAACACCTGTATGCTGTGTATCTCTGTTGTGGACGTAACAGTTCTGGCCAGTTGTATTGGCACAGCAGTGTTGACTGGTCAGTGTCAGGCATTGCAGAAGAGCTCATCCTCAGACTCAGTTTGCAAGTGACGATCTGACAACAAGACCCATGATCAAATGTTGAGCTCTTGTTTATGTATGATACAACTTAAAACTGCCACCACAAAACTCAAGCACTCAGATTTACACAGAAAAATATTTCCTATGTGTCACAAAGTGTCACACTAACTATTTTGAGGGATTGTTGTCCTACTGGATTAGTGAAGAGGGTGTCTGATCAGCACAGTCGTATTGGTGGTACCATTCTGCAATCAGCGCCTCTTACTGTGGGACAGGCATCTCAGTGTGTCAATATTAGAGATAATTTACATGAAAACTCTGCTTGGTGACAAGGGGTGCACAAGGTATAGTGGAGGCACATTTTGGGTTATGTGATTAAAGTGAAGAAGAAAAAAGAAAAGTGTTGTGTAAGGGTAAGTTTTCTAACATCATGAATATTCAAAGTCATATAAACTTTATGTCTATTTATCTTCATCCACACACTTGATTCCCTTGATCATGGTTCATATCTTGTTCAAATTCTGCTTATATATTTCTCAATTTTTAACACAAGCTCACGAAAGACAAGAATAAGTAGTATTTTCATCTGTCCCTTTTTCCTGTTTTTCCTGTTTTGTTGCCCCAAATAATGTGGTCATTGTTAACATTTTGGTTTTTCATATTACAGATTCTGCTACAAGTAAAGAAACTTTTTCAGATCCAGCCATCTTTAGTTGACATCACAGTTTCAGGGGTATGTGGAGAACTAACTGTACACTGTTGAGTTCATTTTCACTTTTATCCCTCTGGTTTGGAAAAACTATCCACTATCTGTGGAACTCCAAAACCATCGAATATTTCTTGTTGAAAGTTGCTATACAGATCTGCCAGGTGCAAACTGATGCCTTTTGATGATTGGGATTTTATATCTTTAAAACTAGCAAAGCTCCCAAACCATTCCGTATTTCTTGATGATACTTGCTGCTATACTGATCTGTCTAGTGGTGAACTGGAGCAGTTTGATTGTTTGGGGTCTCGAAAACTACTGAACAGCCTTATCTTTGTCTTCCCGGAGCTGAACAAACTGAAGGTATCCAATGGCAATGTACCAAAGGTTGGTAATAGAAAGCCTCCATTTCTGAAATGCACCAGACCAGGGGAATGTGCCCCCTGTACTGTGTCAGTGTGCTTGATTTTAGACTTCATAATGATATGATGGATTGATTTTAACAAAAATATGACATGTTAGGTTCTGGTTTTCAAAGATAAATACCTTGCTTGTTTCAGAGCAACAAGTTCACAGTGTGTGGTGACATCCATGGCCAGTTCTATGATCTCATGAACATATTCTCTCTCAACGGGGAGCCATCTGAAGACAATCCATATGTATCCTTGCCACATTAGGATAACACCCAGGAAAACAATTAGGGGCGCCCAGACATGGAAGCATGGATTGCATCCCTTAGCTGTTCTAGGACCCTGTGGTAGTGGGTTTAGATGTCTTTGACTGGCATCACTTTGGGCTTCCCCCTCAATGTTAAGGGCCTTTGGGGTAGCCTTGTTGGTAGATGGAATGGTTAGAGCATCATCATGTGAAGATCCTGGTCCAAATCCTCACTTTCCTGGCATTCCCTGCCATTATATTGTGAGATTATTACCAAACTTTGCCTATTTCAGCATAAATCTACCACAAAGCTTGTGAAATACTGTTCCAAATGTTAATCTCAAACTAGCTAAAAATGGAGGTGTTCTACACTTCATGTGTATAACCTCACCCCATGAGGACCATGATGATAGTTAGTATTTTCCATATTGTAGACCTCTGTGAAATAACGTCAACATAGACTTTGTTGCTTGTCGAAAGAGACAACTAAAGGGCTTGGGTAGTTAAACACTGTGACTTGCCTGATCGCATGTCACCATGAAAGCCTGTATTGTTCTTCATGTTTTAGTCACTGAAAAATCTGTCACTGTCTTGAATGCAGGGCTGAAGTAACCTTGGCTCTGTGAGTTGGCTGACTGCCAGGGCTGAAGTAACCTTGGCTCTGTGAGTTGGCTGACTGCCAGGGCTGACAGGGCTGAAGTAACCTTGGCTCTGTGAGTTGGCTGACTGCCAGGGCTGAAGTAACCTTGGCTCTGTGAGTTGGCTGACTGCCAGGGCTGAAGTAACCTTGGCTCTGTGAGTTGGCTGACTGCCAGGGCTGAAGTAACCTTGGCTCTGTGAGTTGGCTGACTTGACTGGAAGTAACCTTGGCTCTGTGAGTTGGCCGACTGCCAGGGCTGAAGTAACCTTGGCTCTGTGAGTTGGCCGACTGCCAGGGCTGAAGTAACCTTGGCTCTGTGAGTTGGCTGACTGCCAGGGCTGAAGTAACCTTGGCTCTGTGAGTTGGCTGACTGCCAGGGCTGAAGTAACCTTGGCTCTGTGAGTTGGCTGACTGCCAGGGCTGAAGTAACCTTGGCTCTGTGAGTTGGCTGACTGCCAGGGCTGAAGTAACCTTCTCTGTGAGTTGGCTGACTGCCAGGGCTGAAGTAACCTTGGTTCTGTGAGTTGGCTGACTGCCAGGGCTGAAGTAACCTTGGCTCTGTGAGTTGGCTGACTGCCAGGGCTGAAGTAACCTTGGCTCTGTGAGTTGGCTGACTGCCAGGGCTGAAGTAACCTTGGCTCTGTGAGTTGGACTGTTGGCTGACTGCCAGTTGGCTGACTGAAGCTAACCTTGGCTCTGTGAGTTGGCTGACTGCCAGGGCTGAAGTAACCTTGGCTCTGTGAGTTGGCTGACTGCCAGGGCTGAAGTAACCTTGGCTCTGTGAGTTGGCTGACTGCCAGGGCTGAAGTAACCTTGGCTCTGTGAGTTGGCTGACTGCCAGGGCTGAAGTAACCTTGGCTCTGTGAGTTGGCTGACTGCCAGGGCTGAAGTAACCTTGGCTCTGTGAGTTGGCTGACTGCCAGGGCTGAAGTAACCTTGGCTCTGTGAGTTGGCTGACTGCCAGGGCTGAAGTAACCTTGGCTCTGTGAGTTGGCTGACTGCCAGGGCTGAGTTGGCTGACTGCCAGCTGGGCTGCCAGGGCTGAAGTAACCTTGGCTCTGTGAGTTGGCTGACTGCTTGTCATCATGACCCAATGGCATGCATGATTTCACCTACATTATTTACAGCCTGCCTTGGTACTGCTTTGGTATCATTTACTGCATTCATTCAACAACAATCACATACTTAGAAAACAATTAGTTATTTTCAACACATGATATTAAAGATGCCTTGACTCAGTCCAGCTGTTTAATGGAGACTTTGTGGACCGTGGATCGTTTTCTGTTGAGTGTATAATGACTCTATTCAGCTTGAAGCTACTGTACCCCAATCACTTCTTCATGGCTCGAGGTATTTGGAACACTGCAACACCATTGTGTCACTTGTAGTCAGTCGTTAGTCTCTTACCTGGCTTGTCCAGTCATCTAAGGTACTGCTATTCGCTGTGCAGTTTGTTCACACTGGGAACCTATGATTGTTTGCTCAAATCCCAGATTGCAACAATTATGTTTGTTGGTTTGTCAGCTCTGCATGTTGCTTTAACCAACATGGTAAACCTCTGAGACATCTTGGGCTATCCTCCCACACTCTGCTGACAGACACACCATGATGTACCTGGAATACTGTGCAAGGTGTCTTTAGACCCAAGTCTTGGGCTATCCTCCCACACTCTGCTGACAGACACACCATGATATACCTGGAATACTGTGCAAGGTGTCTTTAGACCCAAGTCTTGGGCTATCCTCCCACACTCTGCTGACAGACACACCATGATGTACCTGGAATACTGTGCAAGGTGTCTTTAGACCCAAGTCCCTTGCTGACTCTTACCATGCTTACAGACCACAGAGCATCCAATGTTAAGACAGAATTACCTCATTTCATTCTCATCCAAGTTTTAGCTCTACAAATAGAGACTTGAGGGCTCCTCAATACACAAGGGCTACTTCATAAAAGAGTTCTGATGAGATGATTCATTAGTGTTTTGGGGGATCTATTTGTTATTCCAGTCAGGTTGTGTACAGTTTTAGTTTCCTTTAATCACTCTTGTTTCTGTTGTCAGGGAACCATGAAAGCGTGACAATGAACCAGATGTATGGATTTGACGGAGAAGTGAAATCAAAATATCCTTGCCATCAGTCATATCATCAGGTGTACATCAGAAACTTGATGTTGATAGAGGTTTTCATGGACTGACCAATGTCTTTTCAACAACAAACATATTCAGACAGGTTACCTACTTTGCACTTTTGCTTGAAATGATTACCCCCAAAGGTTTTGTATCAATTTATGTGTATCTGCCAAGCAACACTGAAACAGCAACAGAACTTGAAACAATGTCAGCAGATGTATATCTGTATGTTTTGGAGCACTCCTTGAATTTGTTTGCAATGCCCAGCTTACGCAATGATGTATTGGGAGTCTTTTCAATGTTATAATGCACAGCGTCATCAAACATTTCTTCCATTTTCCAAGTGAAAGACAGATTTAGGCAGGAGAAAGTTTTGGATTCATAGGTGTCAAGTGGAGAGAAAAACTAGAAGCCAAGCAAGAATGCAGTCCTGTGTCCAATCATTTTGAGTGGGATGCATTTCGCTTGATCTTCTTCATTTTCACTGGAAGTTTCTCTTGCAAGATGTAAAATCGGCTTGTATTGATATGGTCTAACATCCATGTGAGAAATGACATCAGTCACATCTTTTACTGCATCAGAACCCATGGTCATTGTCAAGTTGTGAGGTAGAATCAAAGAGGAAGCCATCGGCAATATGCACGTCAGGTGTTTCCATAGTAGGGAGAAATACGAGTACATTTTGTATGTGTATATTGCAATTTTACAATGTTTTTGTTCAATATTAATCACGGACGGTTACTGTTAGAATGCCTTTACCCTATAAATATTGTTGTGTGTTAGTGTTCTCCTTTAAGTGTTGCTTACATTTTCTGTAAAGGTATTGATATTTGTAATGGCATAACAGTTTGGGTTTTTTATTATTATTATAGAATATTTATAACACACATATCCACTGCAACTAGTACATGCTAAAGGCGCTGGTATCTTTTTCCCTCGGTCATTGGATGTCAGTCTCAATGGCACATTGTATTATCAATCTCAACTCCCTGTGGACATACAACTCTTGCAGCCACTAGGCCCACCAAGTTATTGTGGCTTTCCCATCCAAACGAGGTACCCCTTCACAGCTGGGTGGACTGGGACACATAGTACTTTGTCCAAGTTTACTGTACGTTGCTAGGTGCAACTAGGTGTTTGCATGTATTCATGTGGCCACCATCTGGTCATATACCAACGTATTTGTGAGTTCTTTTAAGTCCACAGGGTTGTGTACAGTACACCAGTACAGTGCATATGTCCCTAAAGAGAGCATAAAACAGAACAGAATCTTTAAGAATATTTCATTCATTGTTGCAGATTGGTTCAAGTTACATGTGTGTGGACGCATTTATTCTCAATAATTCTCAATGTGTAAATATCCAAATTGACAGTCGGTTTGTTTAGTGGCCATCTCTATCAACATTTGAAACTGTTGATGACTTGTCCAGTTGAGCTACAGTGCCTGGACTCCATTGTTCCATGTTGGCATGACAACAAAACTAATGTGATGATGTACAATCTATTGCCTTAACTATGGCCACATACACAAGTCAGATGGCTCAACTTTTCACAGAAGTCTTCAACTGGCTTCCACTTGCTCACTGTATCAACAACAAAGTCATGGTGAGTTGCCTTATTGTATACACTTTCCGTACGGATTGTTGAAAACATACCGAATGTTTATCAACATTGTATTTTGTTGGTGATGTGTTTAGTAGCAATGTATTCCATCTATATATCATGACTGCCTGTAATAATTGAGTTAGTGTCATACAGACCACTGAGTTTGTCATTGCAATTTCCTAGAACCTGGCGTGTGACAGGGAACCTGGCCTCCCTGCATCGTCAAGTGCCTCTATGATATGGTTGGCTTCACAGTCACCTAGCAAATCACTTATTCCCACTCACTCATCCTCTCAGTCATTCTGAACAAAAAAATCCACAAAACTCTTAAAACTGTTACTCTCTAACCCAGGCCTACTGATTCCAGACCTTCCTTGACTTGTAGGTGATGCATGGAGGCCTGTTCTCGGAGGACACAGTAACCCTTGATGACATCCGCAAAGTTGAGCGGAACAGACAGCCTCCTGAGACAGGTCTGCAGAAGGATGAGTTTTCAATCGTGGTTGGCCCTTTTGTCTTTAAGCTAATCATGCCTATGTCATGTTAAGATATGGGTTTAAGTCCCATGTTCCCCCTAATCATGATTTAGGGACTTCAGCTCCATTAACATTGGTTTTCCCCAAGGGTAAATAATTCATATGAATACATACCTCTAACACCTTAAATTTGTTTGAGAATCCACAAGTTTACCTTGAAAAAGAATCCATGGCTTTTGTGTCATCTTCCTAGTGGTCCTCCAACCCCTATCTGAAGGAGTTATCTCCCCTAACAGAAACACGGAGAAACCTTATAATTTGGTTATGATGCATAAATCTAAGGACTCTACATACATTTCGTCCTTCTCCTTGGGTCCAAACAATTGCTCAGCCTATGAGAAATTAGTGTCTGCTGAGGATTCACATGGAGATTTTTTGACACCTCAGCTCTTTTGTCTCGTATTGTGAGGCTTGTCAGCTGCTATTTCCAGATATTGCAAGCATTACATGCTATAAGGTATGACTATTTATAGATGCTTTTCTGGCAGGGGCATTTTACAGATGCTTCAGATGATCCAGATTTTACTTCAGCCAAATTACAGGTAATTGCAGACAAGTTGGCTGCATTAACTGTACTATTTCAATGCTAATGCCGCCTCAACCTGATGAAGAAGACTTTGCAAGGGAAATTCAGCGATCAGAGGCTCCCCTCTTCAACAAAGTGAAGCGCAAGTTACCTCAGTCTTCCTTCCAGTCTAAGATTAGCATGGATTTGAAAGACGGATTGTCGTCACTCAAGTATCCAGACTGTTTGGGCAATTATTCTCTTCAGGGAGAGACGTTAGATGGAATTTTAGGTTCCTTGTACATCTGGAAAAGTCAGAGTCTGAGTTTTACTAACAAAGTACAGAAATTTATTTGCAAAATATATAACACCGGCTGAAGCCTAGTTTATCCTCCAGAGGATCGTTATCAAGAGGTCACATCCAAGATAATGGAAGGTAACTTCTATGCAAAATCTTTCATCCGTCTCCATCTGAGATATATTCAAGATTGGATCAGTTAGCATTGAGGAACACAGCTCAACTCTGTCATAGTGCCTCTGAATCTAGTTTTCAAGGACTTCGATGGTGGAATATTTCCGACAATGTCATCCGTGGGACTCAAATTGGGATGCCTCTGCCAGATCACCACATCTGCACAGACGCATCGTTCACAGGATGGGGTGCTCATCTTGAAGACAAATGGTTTTATTTTAAAGATGGAGATCTTTCCTAAGGTAGAAGGTCTGCAAGGTCAATGGGGTCAGTGACTGTACCAGATCTGACTCTTCACTGCTGGAATCAGTTCTACCTGAAGCCAAGAAATTATCATGCCGTCCACTACATAAGATTTGATGGATCAGGAACTGGGCTGATATCATTTGTAACTGGTTTAATCTAACACATGATAACATTTGCTTTTTCCTAAGTATCATAGAAGACTGTCTCACGGGAACAGAGGCAGCTTGCATGTGGGCGTCTTCGAACATTTTAATGTCATTAAGGTACCCCAGGAAAAGTCATGAGGTTCTGTTAGGGGAGATACCTGCTGCAGATAGTGCTTGGAGGACCACTAGGAAGACAGACAACACAAAGTACATGGACATCTATTCAAGCTGAATTTTATTTAAGCTGAACCTGTGGATTCCGAAATAAGTTCACAGGAAAAATGCAATCAAATGTTTGTGGTAGTATTCTAAGAATTATTATCAATTTTCATAATTTGCCAATTTGGACACTTATCAGGTCTCTGTTCTTAGGTTTTTTGCCATCCTGGTGCCTGTATGGTTGTTTCTCATCTTGAGACACCAAGGCTACCATCATACAGCTGCAAAAAGTCCAGGATAAGTATTAGACAAACGAAACATTTCTTTTCTTGCCCAGGCATCATGTGTGAACTCCTGTGGTCGGACCCACAGCCACAGCCTGGGAGATCCACCAGCAAAAGAGGCGTAGGGGTCCAGTTCGGTCCTGATGTCACAAAGAAGTTTCTGCAGTACAACAACCTGGACTACGTCATCCGTAGCCATGAAGTGAAGAATGATGGTTATGAGATGGCTCATGATGGAAAGTGCATCACTGTCTTCTCAGCCCCAAACTACTGGTGAGAACTGTTCCAGGTGATGGCTTCCATTAAGTCAATTGGGAATATGGTCTTAATAATTTACATTATATTTTGAATAGTTGTTACCTCCCCATGATAACCAAGACATGTGATTTAGGCTGACCTATGTTTAGGAAAACCCTTTGTTGATGACTGTAACATGACTAAGCGAACATTGTTGATTGACTGCTGCATGCCTGGGAGAACATTGGTGATTGGCTGCTGCATGTCTGGGAGAACATTGGTGATTGGCTGCTGCATGTTTAGGAGAACATTGGTGATTGACTGCTGCATGTCTGGGAGAACATTGGTGATTGGCTGCTGCATGTCTGGGAGATTATTGGTGATTGGCTGTTACATGTCTGGGAGAACATTGGTGATTGGCTGCTGCATGTCTGGGAGAACATTAGTGATTGGCTGTTACATGTCTGGGAGAACATTGGTGATTGGCTGCTGCATGTCTGGGAGAACATTGGTGATTGGCTGCATGTCTGGGAGAACATTGGTGATTGGTGATTGGCTGCTGCATGTCTGGGAGAACATTGGTGATTGGCTGCTGCATGTCTGGGAGAACATTGGTGATTGGCTGCTGCATGTCTCTGGGAGAACAGTGACATCTGGGAGAACATTGGTGATTGGCTGTTACATGTCTGGGAGAACATTGGTGATTGGCATGACTGGGAGAACATGTCTCATGACTGGGAGAACATTGGTGATTGGCTGCTGCATGTCTGGGAGAACATTGGTGATTGGCTGCTGCATGTTGGGAGAACATTGGTAATTGGATGTATCATGACTGGGAGAACATTGGTGATTGGATGTATCATGACTGGGAGAACATTGGTGATTGGATGTATCATGACTGGGAGAACATTGGTAATTGGATGTATCATGACTAGGAGAACATTGGTGACTGGATGTATCATGACTAGGAGAACATTGGTGACTGGATGTATCATGACTAGGAGAACATTGGTGATTGGATGTATCATGACTGGGAGAACATTGGTGATTGGCTGCTGCATGTTTAGAGAACATTGGTGATTGGCTGTTACATGTCTGGGAGAACATTGGTGATTGGCTGTTACATGTCTGGGAGAACATTGGTGATTGGCTGTTACATGTCTGGGAGAGCATTTGTGATTGTCTGTTACTTGTCTGGGAGAACATTGGTGATTGGCTGTCTTTGTTAATTGCTACATGTTTGGGAGAGATATTCTGTGATTTGTTGCGGCATGTTTGGGAGAGATATTCTGTGATTGGCTGCTGCATGTTTAGGAAAGATATTGTTTGACTGGCTGCTGCCTGTTTGGGAAAGATATTCTGTGATTGGCTGTTGCCTCTTTGGGAGAGATATTCTGTGATTGGCTGCGGCATGTTTTGGAGAGATTATTCTGTGATCGGTTGCTGCATGTTTGGGAGAGATATTCTGTGATTGGCTGCGCCATGTTTGGGAGAGATATTCTGTGATTGGCTGCTGCATGTTTGGAAGAGAAATTCTTTGATTGGCTGCTATATGTTTTGGAGAGATATTCTGTGATTGGCTGCTGTATGTTTGGGAAAGATATTCTTTGATTGGCTGCTGCTTGTTTGGGAGAGATTTTCTGTGATTGGCTGCTGTATTTGTCGGAGAGATGTTCTGTGATTGGCTGCTGCATGTTTGGGAGAGATACTGTAAATCACAAAATTTTTGCGTCACGATATTTTTGCGAGTGGCGACCAGCAGACGTTTTGTGTCATGATATTTTTGCAACTTTCCCAAATCTAAAAAATTTGCAACTGAAAGTTCTACCTAAAGTAAATCCAATCACATATTAAAGTAGATATCTGCATACACATGGAAGTACACTACTATCAGTGATGTTTTCCTAAAAACAACTCCCACTACATAGGCCAGATAAGCTTAAAACAGTTCAAAGGGATTATATTGATTGGAATGCCTCTATTATATTTTTGGACTAAGGAGCAAAGTTTAATGACAATGACATCACCAAAGTAATTAGTCTTCCCCCCAAGTTGTTGTCATTGCTTAATTGATGTATTGTCTAGGTCTGTCGTTGATTATATGAACTGGTGTCTAATAAAGAGATAACGAGACACGTTATTTGTTGATTGTTTATAGCATTTGACCGGTAAATTACGTCATGATATTTTTGCGAGCTCAAGTCATTCACAATTTTTGCAAAAATATCATGCTCGCAAAAATTTCGTTATTTACAGTGTTCTGTGATTGGCTACTGCATGTTTGGGAGAGATATTCTGTGATTGGCTCCAGCATTCTGTGTGTCAGGATAATGGCTTTTTAATATTTTCTTTATTTATGCTTGACGACTTGCTGTTCCAGTGATACCATGGGTAACAAAGGAGCTTTCATAACTGTCCAAGGAAATGATCTCACACCTAAGTTCACTTCTTATGAAGCTGTGGTGAGTAGTCTTACTTCTGTGGTCCTGAACACTATTCCTCAAATCAATTGATGTGCAGTGGCAGTCTATGATAAATTATGGGAGTTATGTCCTTAGCTTTGTGACAGCTTAGTGGAACAGATCCCTGGAAGTATTAACACTCTGTACTTCACCGTGTCCTAGGGTCTGCTAGTCTCCTTGGTTGCTTAACACAATATCTGTGCTCCCTCAAATAGTTAATGGCACTGAAGCTCTCTCCTGCTGAATGACAGGACATGAACAAACTTGCAGATAGTTTTACCCTTCAGGTCAGTCAAAGAAAATGTTTAAAAGTTCTCTTCTTTTTGTTAGAGGTCAGAGAAGAAGTGGGAGGTCAGGCATCATGACTTGTTTGTATGACATACCTGACAGCATAACACATTGTCACTGTAGTGGACCTGGTTATCTCTACAGTCCATTTGAGTCAGAAACGGACCGATAAATTGCAAATTTTATCATTGTACAAAATTGCCACATAAATATAAATAGTACACGTTTATCGTTTACTAATACCCAACAGCTTTCTTACATTTGAAAATTTTCCGGACTCTACCAAAAAAGTTGTTTAAGAAACTATCATAATTGAAAGCGCAAAAGTTGTTTATCTGTCGCGACGGGGTGAAACCGCAGAAACGGAACAGCCACTATCTCGGGCGTGCACACGAGATACACATGCCTGATGAAAAATGAAGTTAAATGCTGACGTGAAACAGTTGATGATTAAAGTGTACGCTTTTTTCCGTGCTGAAGCCGAAAGGGGCAAACCATTTTATGCCATTAATAAATTCCGTGAAGCGGGCAGCAAAAGCTTTAGGAGTATCAGCAAGGGTACTGACAAATGTTCTGGAACACAAACATTGTGAGGGTGATGCTTGAAGCAGGTAGGGGGTCGTGTCAAAATCACACAAATTAAAACATTTGGACAACTTTCAAAAGAACCTTGTAAGGCAGTCTATCAACAAGCTCTATTCTGAAAACAAATACATGTCGCTGAAAATTTTTAAAAAGCATTTGAAGCAAGAACACAACCTCAGAGTATCAAAGTACACTCTCTGGCCACTCTTACACTCTTTCGGGTATCGTTATAAGAAAATTTCGGGGGAGAATAGGTCAGTACTCTGTGAACGCCCTGATATCGTTAGCTTGAGAAATAATTTTCTCAGGGTTATAAAGAAGAAGCGCGAGGAAGGGTTCAAGCCAATGTACTTGGACGAGACCTGGGTCAATGCCTCGCACACTGCCAGCAGTCAGTGGGTACCCGATGGCCTCTAGGGAATGGAGAGAGACTAATCATTCTCCATGCTGGTTGCTCCAGCAAAGACTTTCTCCCAGGCTGCGACTTGGTATTCTGGGCTAAGTCCACAGATAACAGAGACTACCATTCCGAGATGAATGGTGCGGTTTTCCTTGATTGGGTTAAAAACAAGTTGGTACCAGCTCTACCAGAGAAGTATTTTATCGTAATGGATAATGCCCCATACCACAGCGTGCAGGACCCCGACAGTAAAGCCCCGACATCGAACAGTCGAAAAGGTGATATGATATCATGGCTCGACAAATTTTAGATCGCACGGCCTTCAAAGGCAACGAAGCCTCAGCTATATGAGATCATAAAACCCCACAAAGGTGAACCTTTCTACAAAGTTGACAGTTACATAAAAAGTAAGGGTCACGATATTCTGTGACTTCCACCCTATCACTGTGACCTTAACCCCATTGAAATGATATGGGGTATTGTCAGAGGAGATGTTGCCAGATCAAACACAACTTTTAGATTACGTGACGTAGAGGTTTTGGTTAAGGAATCCCTTAACAAAATCACGACTGAAACTTGTCATAACTGTGTCAACAAGGTAGCTAACGTCATTGAACAAGGTTACTGGTCTCGGGATGGCTTACAACAGGCAACTGTGACACCACTTGTCATCCCTTTAAGTCGTGACTATGACACTACGACAGACGAGGAACCGACAGGTCTCCCGGAATAGATTTTGAGATGTCCCCCGCCATGACTGGCTGTTCCGTTTCTGCGGTTTCACCCCGTCGCGACAGATAACAACTTTTGCGTTTTCAATGATGATAGTTTCTTAAACAACTTTTTTGGTGGGGTCCGGAAAATTTTCAAATATGAGATAGCTGTTGGGTATTAGTAAATGATAAACATGTGTACTATTTATATTTATGTGGCAATTTTGTACAATGATAAAAATTGCAATTCATCGGTCCGTTTCTGACTCAAACGGACTGTGGAGTGGCATCATGTTGTTGGAGTACACCCACTTGTGGTGTTTATCACTGTAGTGGACCTGGTTATCTCTAGAGTGGCATCATGTTGTTGGAGTATACCCACTTCTGGTGTATATCACTGTAGTGGACATGGTTATCTCTAGCGTGGCATCATGTTATACCCACTTGTGGTGTTATATCACTGTAGTGGACTGTAGTGGACATGGTTATCTCTAGAGTGGCATCATGTTGTTGGAGTATACCCACTTGTGGTGTATATCACTGTAGTGGACATGGTTATCTCTAGAGTGGCATCATGTTGTTGGAGTATACCCACTTGTGGTGTTTATCACTGTAGTGGACATGGTTATCTCTAGAGTGGCATCATGTTGTTGGAGTATACCCACTTGTAGTGTTTATCACTGTAGTGGACATGGTTATCTGGCATCAGAGTATACCCACTTGTGGTTTATCATGTAGTGACATGGTTATCTCTAGAGTGGCATCATGTTGGAGTGGTGTATACCCACTTGTGGTGTTTATCACTGTAGTGGACATGGTTATCTCTTATCATGTTGTTGGAGAGTGGTATGGACATGGTTATCTTGTGGCATCATGTTGTTGGAGTATACCCACTTGTAGTGTTTATCACTGTAGTGGACATGGTTATCTCTAGAGTGGCATCATGTTGTTGGAGTATACCCACTTGTAGTGTTTATCACTGTAGTGGACATGGTTATCTCTAGAGTGGCATCATGTTGTTGGAGTATACCCACTTGTGGTGTATATCACTGTAGTGGACATGGTTATCTCTAGAGTGGCATCATGTTGTTGGAGTATACCCACTTGTGGTGTTTATCACTGTAGTGGACTTGTGGTGTTTATCATGGTTATCTCTAGAGTGGCATCATGTTGTTGGAGTATACCCACTTGTGGTGTTTATCACTGTAGTGGACATGGTTATCTCTAGAGTGGCATCATGTTGTTGGAGTATACCCACTTGTGGTGTTTATCACTGTAGTGGACATGGTTATCTCTAGAGTGGCATCATGTTGTTGGAGTATACCCACTTGTGGTGTTTATCACTGTAGTAGTGACATGGTTATCTCTAGAGTGGCATCATGTTGTTGGAGTATACCCACTTGTGGTGTTTATCACTGTAGTGGACCTGGTTATCTCTAGAGTGGCATCATGTTGTTGGAGTATACCCACTTGTGGTGTTTATCACTGTAGTGGACCTGGTTATCTCTAGAGTGGCATCATGTTGTTGGAGTATACCCACTTGTGGTGTATATCACCATATTAACAGATAGACACACAAAAAACAACACCAAGCCCTGATTCTTTTTTATATATTCCTCCTTGGGGTACTTATAAGCATTTAAATGTCCATTTAAATTCCCTACGACAGTTGTAACAATATTTGAATAAAATATTTACAAAACAAAAACTACGTTTTGTCTTGTGAGACCACCCTTACAGGGCCTTCCGGCCCCCTACAGCCAAGAGCAGGTAACTCTAGACCGTAACCTCGTACCTCACTTTCCATGCTGTCGTTGTACCGACAAGACGTGGGTCCATACCAGAAGGTTTTTCCTTGCGACTAAGAGAGTTATGAGTGTTTCAGAAACTGCAACTGTATGTATGGTTCTCTTTTTTCCCTGCATGGGTGAATTGGAGTTTTTTCTGAATTTTTTCATTCATAATTTCTCGTTGTAACTTGGTACCTGTCGCGGTCGGCTCGCTAGTGCGTGTCAAGATGGCGGACAGGTCCCTTCGCTAGCCTTCCTGTTCATTGGTTTCCCATGTGGTTTTTCAATGTTACAGGTGGTTTTAGTGGTTTTTTATTTGTATCTTTGTACGTGTAGGGCGTATGTCTACTGCTCGCATTTTCTATATTACGCTAAAAAACCCGTAATTGTTAGTTATGCTGCAGTGTGTACTAGGTTGTCAACTGCATGCTGTCGCCCATGCGTCTTTTTACATGTATTTGTATGTGGGTATAGGGTAGATTGCTGCACAGGTTTTTTACTTGTTGCAGTTTAAACCCTGTACTCCGTGCCTTGCTGCAATTCCCGTACGGGATTCCCACGAGGTCTGCTTACGCTGTTTAGTGCAGAAGGAACATGAGGAAGAGGGGTGTGCGGCATGTGCCATGTTCTCGCCCCAAACCATTCGGGCAAGGCGGATAGACACGCTGTTCTACAGCAACCTGCTTCGGGCCGGGGGTGATCTCTGGGCACAGGATCCCCCGTCCAAGCGCTCCCATAGTAAAAAAAAGGGGTCCACGGGAGCCGCTTCCCACACGGAGCCGGCTCCCAAAAAAGCTAAGGCGGCTTCGTCTTCACGCACTCATGCCCCTTCTGCATCTCCAACTGCTTCCGTCTCTGTACCCGCCACCCCCCCTCTTGATTCAGCACCTGTAAAAAGCGTTCCTGTTGATTCGTTAACCGTTTTTTTCCAGGAGCAGATGTCGTCAGTCAAGTCCCTGATTGATACGGCGTTAGCGGGGTTCCGTAAGGAGCTCAGCGCGCCGGTCGTCGGGCGGAGCTGACACATCTGGGGGGGTTGGCTGCGCCCGAGCCGGCTCGAGAGCAGCGCCTCCCCGGCGGCTTGATCCTGGCTTCGGCCGTGGTGATAGCATGCCCTCGGCGTCTGGTGGCGACCTGGCTTTATGCGCTGGTCTGTCACAGGTGCCTGGTGCCGGGCGATACAGGTTTGCCCCTGTCATTGCCTGGTGTCCCGACTGGCGGTCGCCTAAGCCGACCAGTTCGGGATACCTCGGCGCCTGGCAGCCAGTCTGGGGTTGCCGGGAAGCCTGTTGCGGCAGGTTCCTCTCGGCGACTCGGCGACCTGGCGCGGGTTCCTCCCGGCAGGGCGATGCTTTTCCCCTGGCTCCTCTTGACCTTATGAGTTTTTCTGGTCCTGCCTCTGGCGTCTCCTCGGCGTTCTCTCAGGAGTCTGAGATTATGGCAGCCGAGGATTCTGCCAAGGTTGATATGGAGGAGGAGGAAGGGACGGAGGAATCGGAGGCGGGAGTGCCGTACTCCTTTGCCTCGTCCCTGCGGCAGGTTTGGGATAAGATCGCCGAAGTCCTGCCGCAGGTGGCTGTTCCCGTCCCGGCACCCGACCCCGCGGAGTTTCGGCTCCCGGGGGAGGCGTTCGCACCTTACCGGGTCGCAGGCAGGGCAGGGCAGGCGCCTCCCCCCTTTTCCGGCTAGTACTTCACTGCCGCTGAAGTCTGCCTACCGGTCATTCGAAGAATGTTACCGGTGCGCGGCCCAGCAACTTAAAGTAGCCGTCCATTCAGCCTACCTGTCTGCATTGCAGGGACAGCTGGTGGCCCACAGCGCTTGCGGTGCCGATTCATCGGAGTCGGTGCTCGCGCGGCAGCTAACGGACGTACACTCGCATCTGGCTCGGGACAGCATTCGGTGCTGTGCCAGCCAGATGATGGGTGCCGTCATGGGCTTGCGCCGCCTGTGGCTGTCTGTGGCACGGTATTCGCCGGCCACACAGCAAGCTCTACTGTCATTGCCCTATACCATGGGATCTTCCCTGTTCCCTGGGGCCTTGCAGGTGGTAAGGGAGGCCGCGGAGGCTGTCTCTACCTTTAAGGACTCAAAGCCTTTGTTGGAGCAGCCCTCCGCCGCCCTCGCCATCGGCCCTCCCCGCTATGCGTCCGCTTACCCTTCTGCCTCGGCGAGAAGGATGTTGTTAAGTGGGCTGCCCCTTTGCAGTCCAAGCGAGCAGGCGACGAGAGGCAAGGGCAAGCCTGCTCCAGCGCAGCATTCTTTTTCGGGGCAAGGGAAGCCAGCCCCGGCTTCCCACTGATTCATTCCCCAGAGCCCTTGTTGCCCCCCACTCACGCAAGCGGAGACTTGCCGACGGTGGGGGTGCACTGCCTCTTGCCACACGTCCCTGTCGGCGGCCGGCTGTCCCTATTCCTCCGGGAGTGGGAGGCAGCCACCTCAAATCCCTGGGTCCTGTCCACGCCAGGGATGGCCATTTGCCACAGTGGGGCGCGATCCTCCTTCCTTCTCCGGGGTTCGACACGCCTGTGCTGACCCCCAGCGACAAGGCGGAAGTCCTCCGTGCGAGGTTCAGTCTTTACTGACCAAGGCGGCCATCGAGGTGGTTCCTGTGAGTCAGCGAGAGGGGTTTTATTCCACCTACTTCCTCGTGACCAAAAGGACGGAGGGTTCAGACCCATTCTGAATCTCAGAGGGCTGAACAAATTACTGGAGGTGCCGTCTTTCAGGATGGAGACACTCAGGTCAGTGATCTCCTCCGTCGAGACAGGGGATTGGCTTACGCCAATCGATCTCAAAGAAGCATACCGATGTTCCAATGCACCTCGAATTCAAGAAGTACCTCCGGTTCTCCTTCGACGGACGCATACCAGTGCTACGTTGCGTGCTCCCCTTCGGCATCTCCACGGCCAAGGGTGTTCACCAAACTTATGCTAATCCCAGCTCAGTTAGCCAGGTCTCAGGGCAGGTGTTGTCACCCGTACCTGGACGATTGGCTTCTACGGGCCTTAGGGCCTCAGTTAAGCAGAGCCTCCACACTGTGCGTGCTGGATACTCTGGTGTCACTGGGCTGGATTATCAATCTCAAGAAATCAGACCTCGTTCCGACGCAGGATCTGATATTCTTGGGAGCCAGATTCAACACGGCGCTAGGGATTGTTTCCCTTGCTCCGGACCGCATCGTCAAAGTCCGAAGGACTGTGTTACAGTTCCTCCAGTCCCCCGTTGCGTCGGCCCGAACATGGCTTCGGTTGCTCGGCAACATGGCGGCGACAGTGGGCGTGGTTTGGCGTCTTGGCGTTTGAGGATGCGACCAATTCAGCAAGCATTAGCTCAGCTGTGGTCCCACTTTCGCAGGGCTACGAGATTATGCTCATAACGCCAGAGTGGTTAATCCCTCACTTGCGATGGCGGGGACGGACGCCGGAATTTGTCCAGGGGATCCCCTCGACACCCGACACCTTCCCTCTCAGTTCAGACGGACGCCTCCCTCACAGGTTGGGGGTTCTGGGCGAGCACTCAGCCTCCGCCTCTGGTGGAGCGGGAGGTCAGCCTACACATCAATGTGTTAGAACTGAGAGCAGTCCGCAAGGTGTTCGAGTGCTTCCGGTGTTGGTGCAGGGCCGTGTGGTTCGTCTAGAAATGGACAATCAAACGGCCATGTCTTACATTCTCAAGCAAGGCGGCACAGTGTCTCCGCCGCTCCTTCAGGAGGCGTGGCAGTTTCTACTGTGGTGCGATCAGTTCAACATTCGGTTTTGCCTGTTTATCTCTCCGGGTAGACAACGTCCGTGCAGATGCTCTCTCACGGCGTATACTAGCCCCACACGAAGTGGATGCTTTCGACCGGAGATATTCGGTGGATTATCTCCCAGTTGTTCGGTCGTTTCCAGTTGGATCTGTTTGCGTCTGGGGTGACGAACCAGATTCCTGTGTTTTGCTCCCCGATTCGGATTAGCCAACGACGCCTTTCAGCTAGATTAGACGGACAGGGTACTGGGGGCGTTCCCCGATACCACTGATTTCCAGGGTCCTGTCATAGCTGACAGCACAACCAGCTCGCTACTTGTGCTTCTGGCACCCTTTGGTCGGCACAAAGCTGGTTTCCGGTAATTCTCAGGTTTCTGGCTCAGCCTCCTGTTCTATTACCTTTTCGACCGGACCTCCTATCCCAGAACGGGCGCCCACCGAATCCCAGGATTCAGTGGGTGGCTTGGCCGCTATCTGGGATCGCCTCCATGCGAGCGAATTCCTGCACCAGTTGCAGACACAATTCTGGCTTCAGCGGAGGGATTCGGACAAACGCTCAATATGAGGATAGATGGGCCTGTTATTATGATAGCTGGTGTGTCAACAGGGGATTCTTGATCCCTTTCTACAGATTTAGTCTGTGTGTTAGAATTCCTCCAGTCTCGGTTGGAAGCCGGCCTAGCGGCTTCCACTGTTCGGGATATTCTACGGCTATTTCTGTTTCATATTCCTGTTGACGGTGCTCTCTTGGGGCAGCACCCTCTTGTACAGCTTTTAGCAGTGTGGACAGAATCCGTCCGGTTGTCCGGACGGATTAGTCCCGATGGGACTTGTCAATCGTTCTTGATTGGCTGTCCGTCCACTGTTTCACAATCTGTCGGCTCTTTCCTCCAGCTGTTGGACGTGGAAGACGGCGTTTCTTGTGGCGGTGACTTCTGGCAGGCGGGTTGGCGATATTCACGCAATGTCGGGCCGATCCAGCTACTACTGTTTTTCACAAAGACAGAGTTAGCATTGGCTGCCTGAGACTTACCGTCCCTAAGAAGGATAGTCCCTTCCATGTGACGAAGCCTATTGAGCTCCCAGCTTTCACTCAGCCTTCCCTGTCCGGTACCTCTCTCGACGTGCTCCGCCTTAGATGTCCGTAAGACACTTCAGGCTTATATCAAGCGAACAAGGGTACCCGTAAGGGTAACCAATTGTTTTGTTGTTATAGCGGGTTCAGGCTGGTCTTCCGCCACCAAGCAGACCATTTCTCGGTGGCTTGTCTCTGCCATACATATGAGTTATACTCAAACAGGGCGATCCCGCCTGTTGGGTTGAAAGCTCATTCGGTTAGGGCAGTAGCTACATCGACAGCTTACGCTGCAGCCCTGCCCATTGAGGAGATCTGCTCCGCGGCTATTTGGAGCCGTCCGAGTACGTTCATCTGTCATTACCAACTTGACAGACTCTCCAGTGAGCGTGCTCGGTTCGGTCAGTCAGTTCTCTCCAGTGGGCATGGTTCCACCTCTCTAGCCGATTGAGCTTTCGAGGTTTTTTATTGTGTGAACCATTATCTGCCAATTTTTAACACTGGTGTTGGGTTTTACAAATCTTGTTACATTTTCCCTTGGTGATGGGTTTTATGTGGTGCTGGTTTTTTATTCCCATGTCTCTTGCTTTCTAACCGAGAAGCTCTAGACTAAACTGCCCTTGGAAACTTTGCTGTTCATATTCCGGCATTTCGTTTCTGGGTTTATTGCGGGACCCTTATCTTCACTTCCGAGTAGATTACGGGAAGGAGGGAGGGTGTGTCTCGTTCGTTGCATTAGCTTAGGTTTCGCTGGACAAATTTGCATATCGTTTAACCCTGACCCTGGCTCATGCCCCGCCTGATTGGCTTTGGTGGACACGTGACCGGGTAAGTGTGCCTTTTCTGCTATAATTAGCTTGGGAAATTCCACTTCTTGTCGGGGGTGTTTAAGCAGACAGAATACCGCTCCTGAGATCCGTCTTTAGGAGTCTGTCTTATGCTTATAAGTACCCCAAGGAGGAATATATAAAAAAGAATCGAACTAACCTGTAGAGGTTTCAGATTCTTTGAATATATTCCTCCTTGGGGTACGCCCGCCCACCTCCCCGCATTCTGTCTGACTTCGTTCAGCATGGAAAGTGAGGTACGAGGTTACGGTCTAGAGTTACCTGCTCTTGGCTGTAGGGGGCCGGAAGGCCCTGTAAGGGTGGTCTCACAAGACAAAACGTAGTTTTTGTTTTGTAAATATTTTATTCAAATATTGTTACAACTGTCGTAGGGAATTTAAATGGACATTTAAATGCTTATAAGTACCCCAAGGAGGAATATATTCAAAGAATCTGAAACCTCTACAGGTTAGTTCGAGTTTTCAAGAGATTTCAACTCTTCAACTTTTGTTTATTGTTTAGTCATTTGTCTCCTCTTTTCTTTGCAGCCACATCCGAATGTGAAACCTATGGCCTATGCAAGTCCACTATTTAATTTGTTTTAGGAACAAAATGTAAATATGTAAATGGTATGTTTGAACATCTGTGAATAGGATGTAAATTATGAACCATGAGATTGTGTATGATAGAACCTGATTATAACATGCCAAGCATTGTAAACACTTTGGTCAGAATGTTTATTTGACATGTTTCCTGCCATGTGAACGTGAACATGCTGGTGTAAAAGATGTGGCGAAAAATGAAGGCAATGAATTCTAATTTTGAAAACAGAGGACAACTTTTTAATGTGCCAATTGAATGTGACCTTGGTTACATTGCTCATATTTTGTCTCAAGTGATCCAGGTATGTGGAACGTGGAAAATCATTTACTCTGCACTGGCAACTTAAGTTCCAAAGGCAGCTTGTCTTGTTTATTGTGGCAAGTTTGGTGAAATCTGTTTCAGTTTCTAACAAAATATGCACCTTGGATATCTTTGATAAAAACTGTAATACTTTAAAAAGGATTGACTTTTCGTAAACTTTAAAAGGATAATCACAGTGTATTCTGTCTAAAAGGCAGAGTGTAGATATTTCATGGAAATGGACAGTTGAAAATATGAAAGCTCACTTGTCCGACAATGCCAGGCAGGTGATGTGACTTCGGCAGATTGCAGGAGTCTGCAGGTCTTGCAGGGTATTTCAATGCTCCTGGCACAAATGTCTATACTCCTGTCATAACTTGCTGTTCAGATAAATACATCTTTTTAAAGGGACCACATAATGTTCTGAGAATGTTGAGGACAATGAGATCTTGTACAATGGATGTAAAACTATAAGGAACTTGTAGCAATACAGTTAGTTATGAAGCAGTGTTATTTGATAGCGAGGGGATGTAAATCAGTCTTCTCTCTTCAGTGGGGAATAGATAGATGTTCAGCCTGTGTTCTACACTACACACACCATGAATTCATATTCTAAATATGCTGCTTTCACATGCAGTCTGTGAAGTTTCTAGCAGAAAATTGTGTTGAAATGGACTGAATGCTTGTAGCCAGTGTCTGATCAGTTCAATGTCACAACAGCGTGAGACTCATCAGTAATCCTTAATGTAGGGAGGAGATGATGAGTCACGTGTCCAGCAGTATCCTGTGTTCCATATCTCCACCGTGCCATGACCTGTTCACCACTGTAGCGTCATTGTGAAGTGACATTATATCCTCCGCTCTGTTATTACCTGACCGCCTCCGTGGTGTAGTGGTTAGAGCGTCCGCCCGGAGAGCGGAAGATCGTGGGTTCGATCCCCGACCGTGTCATACTAAAAGACGTTAAAATATGGTACTTGTTGGTCCCTGCCTGGCGCTCGGCATTAATGGGTACAACAAGGACTGGTCAGCTCGGAGTCAGTATAATGTGTCTGAGTGAGGTATTCATGCTTCACTGCGGTATGGTATCTCAGTGGGCTAGCACTATAAAACCAGCTAAGTATGGGCTAGTACAAGCAGCCACACATACACATACACGCATGCATGTCGTCATATGAGCGAAATATTCTCAAGCACGACGTAAAACCCAATTTCACTTCACCTCACCTCACCTGTTATTACCTATTCACCACTGTAGCGTCATTGTGAAGTGACATCACATCCTCCGCTGTTATGACCCGTTCACCACTGTAGTGTCATTGTGAAGTGACATCACATCCTCCGTCTTATGACCTGTTCACCACTGTAGTGTCATTGTGAAGTGACATCACATCCCGTCTTATGACCTGTTCACCACTGTAGTGTCATTGTGAAGTGACATCACATCCTCCGCTCTCTTATGACCTGTTCACCACTGTAGTGTCATTGTGAAGTGACATCACATCCTCTTATGACCTGTTCACCACTGTTATGACCTGTTCACCACTGTAGTGTCATTGTGAAGTGACATCACATCCTCCACCCTGTTATGACCTGTTCACCACTGTAGTGTCATTGTGAAGTGACATCACATCCTCGTCTTATGACCTGTTCACCACTGTAGTGTCATTGTGAAGTGACATCACATCCTCCGCCCTGTTATGACCTGTTCACCACTGTAGTGTCATTGTGAAGTGACATCACATCCTCCGCCCTGTTATGACCTGTTCACCACTGTAGTGTCATTGTGAAGTGACATCACATCCTCCGTCTTATGACCTGTTCACCACTGTAGTGTCATTGTGAAGTGACATCACATCCTCCGTCTTATGACCTGTTCACCACTGTAGCGTCATTGTGAAGTGACATCATATCCTCCATCACTTTCTCTTGGCTGACTAATATTATCATGCATATTCAAAAATGGCAGCCTCACCAAACACTAAATATTGTTAAGAGTAAATGAGTGGTCAACAAGTTAGCATGAATGATCTTTTAAAGACAGAGAAAATGTAATCCGATGTTAGCAGCAGTTGTATTTTAGACCTGGTGATATATCCTAATGATGTAAGAAAAGTTTAATGTGATTAGATGCCTATTTTATGTGTCTTATTCTAACCAAACAAAGCTATTGTTATGTATGGGTTTAGGGTATGAATCGTACTCATGACTACAGACCGGAGATATGCTAGGATGACCAAGAATGAGGCTTCAGCACATCACAACTAATGGAATCTAAAGCAGCTGTTCAGATGAATTATTTTTGTCAAGCCATGAATCATGAAATCTTCTACAAATTGTTTAAACAGTAATAAGATCCTGTGAAACTTGGTGAAAGCTTTGTCGATAGAGATATCACTCGACTGTGTTTTGTTTGCTTTGTTTCAAGTCATCAGTTGATAGTGTTTGCAAGTGTGGCAAGTCCAGAATCTGGCTAGACAGGTGACAGTATGAACCATAGTATGTAGTAGGCGAGTCCTGCCATTCCTAACTGGTACAGGTCACTTGGTATGTGATGCCAACATTCTGCTGCAGACCTTCATGGAATACTACACGACTTCTGATGGAAGCCTATAGTCTTTTTGCAGTGAAAACGTACCGATGAATTTCACTTTAAACAAAAAAGTAAATCAAATAAAGTGAAAATAAGATTGCGAATCATAATAATTTTACCTTGCCAATTGAACATTTGAAATCTCAGAATTTTATTCAACTTAGGATAAAAGTTGTTTAACAAACGATCATAGATTGAAATCGCTATTATTGGTTTGTATTACAAGGGATAAGCGCAGTAGTTGGAACAGTGAAACAAATGCATCTGTGGTAAGTGATGAGTGTTAACTTAGACCAACCCTACTTGTTCTCGGTGTTTCATTTAATGTGCATACATAATGTGTTTGTCTCGCATTTTAGAAGTTGCCACATAAGAGTACAGGCAAGATATTTGATGGATGTGATTTGTTTATTGTATTATGATGATGTGTGTTGGTTTGGATCCTTATACTGTACTTGTAAGATTTGTTTGTTGTTTACACCACAGCCAACATGAGGGGCACAGATAATACAGAGAGGATCAGTTAGGGATGATGACTGGAGGTGTCTGTTGTTTCATGGTAGGCAGATCAGACAAGGTTTGGACTTGTGACTGCAAATTTGAACTGCCTATGCTAGTTTTTTCTCGGTGAGCATATTGAGATTGTTTGATATGGGTTGATTGCCTCCCACGAGATGATGCTAGGTGTAAAGATGTGTAATGTTTGGTCTGACTTGATGGTAGATGTAGTATGTTCTTTTAGTTATTCTGATGGGGCAGGAAGCATGATTAGCATCTATGCCAGAATGTTGCATCAAAATTGAATAAAGAATTTGTCATCCACACAATATCTTAACTTCCCAGTGTTTTTAAGAGCAAGTTATTTTTGTTGACAAAGTGCCATGCCCAGCGGGCTCCTGCACAGCTTGTTTGTGAACAGCTTTGCTTTTGCTGACATGAGAGCTGCCTCAAAAATACATATCCACCTAAATAAAATCTTGTGAGAAAACCTTTGACGTATTTAGTGATCTTGTAGATTGAGTGACAAACATCAGACTCAGACAGATGATATAGAAGTGAATGACTGTTGTCCACAGGGAGAGTTGACAATAATGCCAAACAGAAACAGCATTGTTTTTCAATATTCAAGTCATGTATGAAACTGCCAATTGTGAACGAACAAGTTCGGATTGACCAGGACAATGACATGTCCAGATAATAAAGAAGTGTTGGGTAGGTAGGAGGGTACATATATTACGTTGTGTACCAGATACAGTTTACATACAGTCCAAAACCAGGGAATGTGCGAGTTAGGTAGGCTGACAATCTTTGAAAATGCATCTGTGATGTAAAAGATTTTGAAAAATTGTCTTCAGGTTGACCCCAAAATATATTGAAAAATCTCATCTCTTTTTGTTTTGTTAGGTTTTATTTCTCGTATTACACACTCATTTTGAGTCTTGTTCTTGGCTAAAGTGTTAACAGTTTTTCATGACTTATTGTAAACAGATGTAGCAAAAACTACAAAATACTGTCTTTGTTGTTATTTCATTCCAGATTTGTGACATTTGGGTTGGTGGAATTGTAATCTAAGCAATAATAAAGCTATTTATTAATGAAAATATAAGCTGAGAATTAGTCGGATCACAGTGAAAACAAAAATATTTCCTAAAAACACAGTAGTTATCAATCATGGTGTTTGTGTTGTGGTAGACTCATTTCTATATTGGTTGCCATTCCAGTCTAGGCACTACACACTGTACCGACATACCTCATGATGGACCAAGCAGTACCAAGAGACGTGCATTGTGGTCCTCACAGGGTACCTGTATGTTAGGCACTACACACTGTACCAACATACCTCATGGTGGTCCTCACAGGGTACCTGTATGTTAGGCACTACACACTGTACCGACATACCTCATGGTGGTCCTCACAGGGTACCTGTATGTTATGCACTACACACTGTACCGACATACCTCATGGTGGACCAAGCAGTACCAGGAGACGTGCATGGTGGTCCTCACAGGGTACCTGAATGTTAGGCACTACACACTGTACCGACATACCTCATGATGGACCAAGCAGTACCAGGAGACGTGCATGGTGGTCCTCAGTGTACCAGGAGACCTCTGTTGTGGTCCTCAGTGTACCAGGAGACCTCTGTTGTGGTCCTCAGTGTACCAGGAGACCTCCATGGTGATCCTCCGTGTACCAGGGGACCTCCATGGTGGTCCTCAGTGTACCAGGGTACCTCCATGGTGGTCCTCAGTGTACCAGGATACCTCCGTTGTGGTCCTCAGTGTACCAGGAGACCTCCGTTGTGGTCCTCAGTGTACCAGGAGACCTCCATGGTGATCCTCAGTGTACCAGGAGACCTCCATGGTGATCCTCAGTGTACCAGGAGACCTCCATGGTGGTCCTCAGTGTACCAGGAGACCTCCATGGTGATCCTCAGTGTACCAGGAGACCTCCATGGTGATCCTCAGTGTACCATGGTGATCCTCAGTGTACCAGTGAGGAGACCTCCATGGTGGTCCTCAGTGTACCAGGAGACCTCCATGGTGATCCTCAGTGTACCAGGAGACCTCCATGGTGATCCTCAGTGTACCAGGAGACCTCCGTTGTGGTCCTCAGTGTACCTCCATGATGGTCCTCAGTGTACCAGGAGACCTCCATGGTGATCCTCAGTGTACCAGGAGACCTCCATGGTGATCCTCAGTGTACCAGGAGACCTCCGTTGTGGTCCTCAGTGTACCAGGAGACCTCCGTTGTGGTCCTCAGTGTACCTCCATGATGGTCCTCAATGTACCAGGGTACCTCCATAATGGTCCTCAATGTACCAGAGTACCTCCATGGTGGGTCTTCGGTGTACCAGGAGACCAGCATGGTAGGTCCTCAGTGTACATACATCGTGGGACTTACGCATCTGCATGGGGGTGCCTTCTGTGTACGGTACATCATTATGCAAGACTTATGATTATTCAGTTACATCAATGAGTGCTAAATATGCAATATTGGATGTATGATATAGATGTTGTAGTATGTCAGATATTTTTTTAAATGGTTATCATATACACTAGAGACATCTACAATAAATGAATTTGAAGAGTAATTTTTGCAATAATAAAGTGTTTTGTTAACTCAGACAATGTGTGGTAAATGTGAAATCTTCATTAAATGAATTTGAAAATATTTTGTGGATAGCTTGAGAGTAATTTTTGTAATAATAAAGTGTTTTGTTAACTCAGACAATGTGTGGTAAATGTGACATTAGCTTGTACTACTTGTATTCCAAGGTGATTTCCTGTGTTAACTGTACAGTGTAGCTGTGTCCATCTGTGCTGAGTTACCGTCTTCTGTGCTGTGTTTTCCTATTGGGACT